CCAATTAAACCAAGATCACTCGGTAAGAGTAACTACTTCCTTCTCTTTATTGATGATTTTTCAAGAAAAACATGGGTTTACTTTTTAAAAGAAAAATCAGAAGTATTTGAGAACTTCAAAAAGTTTAAAGCCCATGTTGAGAAGGAAAGTGGCCTTGTGATCAAAGCCATGAGATCTGATCGAGGAGGAGAGTTCATGTCCAAAGATTTTCTGAAGTATTGTGAAGACAATGGCATTAGGAGACAATTGACGGTGCCAAGATCCCCTCAACAGAATGGAGTAGCAGAAAGGAAGAACAGAACAATTCTTGAGATGGCGAGAAGCATGCTCAAAAGTAAGAAGCTACCTAAGGAGTTTTGGACAGAAGCAGTTGCATGTGCGGTCTATCTGTCAAACAGATCCCCAACAAGAAGTGTTTGGGAGAAAACACCAAAAGAAGCTTGGAGTGGAAGAAAGCCCGGTGTTTCACATCTAAGAGTCTTTGGAAGCCTTGCCCACGCTCATGTACCTGATGAGAAACGAAGCAAGCTAGATGACAAAAGTGAGAAGTACATCTTCATTGGGTACGATGCAAACTCCAAAGGTTACAAGCTCTACAATCCTGATACAAAGAAGACAATCATCAGTCGGAATGTCATCTTTGATGAAGAAGGAGAATGGGATTGGAGATCAAATGATGAGAACTACAACTTCTTTCCACATGTTGAAGAAGATGATTTGGAGCAGCCAAGAGAGGAGCCAATTACTCCACCAACCTCACCAACACCAAGTTCTCAAGGAGATGAGAGTTCGAGTGAAAGGACTCCACATTTTAGAAATCTGCAAGAGCTTTACGAGGTAACCGAAAATCAAGAAAACCTTACCCTATTTTGCCTGTTTGCGGATTGTGAACCCATGAACTTCCAAGAAGCAATGGAGAAGAAGACATGGAGAAACGCAATGGATGAAGAGATCAAGTCAATACAGAAGAATGAGACATGGGAGTTAGCTTCACTTCCAAATGGGCATAAGGCGATTGGTGTAAAATGGGTGTACAAAGCGAAGAAGAACTCCAAAGGAGAAGTTGAAAGATACAAGGCAAGATTGGTGGCAAAGGGCTATAGTCAAAGAGCTGGAATCGACTATGACGAGGTATTTGCTCCTGTTGCTCGATTAGAAACAGTTAGACTAATCATTTCATTAGCAGCCCAAAATAGGTGGAGGATACATCAAATGGATGTCAAATCAGCCTTCCTAAATGGAGATATTGAGGAAGAAGTCTACATTGAGCAACCACAAGGCTACATAGTTAAAGGAGAAGAAGACAAAGTCTTGAGGTTAAAGAAGGCGTTCTATGGATTGAAACAAGCACCAAGAGCTTGGAACACTCGTATTGATAAGTATTTCAAGGAGAAAAGCTTCATCAAGTGTCCATCTGAGCATGAACTATATATCAAAACACCAAAAAATGATATATTGATTGCATGCTTATATGTAGATGACTTGATATTCACAGGCAGCAATCCAAGTATGTTCGAGGAATTCAAGAAGGAGATGACGAAGGAGTTCGAGATGAGCGATATTGGATTGATGTCTTACTACCTTGGAATTGAAGTGAAACAAGAAGACAATGGAATCGTCATCACTCAAGAAGGTTATGCTAAAGAAGTGCTGAAGAAGTTCAAGATGGATGACTCGAATCCAGTTTGTACTCCAATGGAATGTGAAGCCAAGTTATCAAAGCTTGATGAAGGAGAGAGTGTGGATCCAACACTCTTTAAGAGTTTGGTTGGGAGTCTACGTTACTTAACATGCACAAGGCCTGATATCTTACATGCAGTTGGAGTTGTGAGCCGATACATGGAGCATCCAACAACCACTCACTTCAAGGCAGCTAAGAGGATCCTTCGCTATATCAAAGGTACGATCGATTTTGGCTTGTATTACTCTATTTCTGATGATTACAAGCTTGTTGGATATAGCGATAGCGACTGGGGAGGAGACGTAGATAATCGGAAAAGCACAAGTGGTTTTGTGTTTTTCATTGGAGAAACAGCTTTCACATGGATGTCGAAGAAGCAGCCGATTATCACTCTTTCCACTTGTGAAGCGGAGTATGTAGCGGCTACTTCATGTGTTTGCCATGCTATTTGGTTACGAAACTTATTAAAGGAGTTGAGTTTGCCATAAGAAGAGCCGACGAAGATCTTTGTGGACAACAAGTCAGCAATAGCTTTGGCAAAGAATCCTATCTTCCATGATCGAAGTAAGCACATCGACACTCGCTATCATTACATTAGAGAATGTGTTACCAAGATGGATGTGCAGTTGGAGTACATGAAGACGGACGATCAAGTAGCTGACATCTTTACCAAATCACTCAAGCGTGAAGCCTTTATCAAGATGAGAAGTTTGCTTGGAGTAGCAAAATCAAGTTTAAGAGGGGGTGTTGAAAGATAAACTTGATTTTGGATCAAGCTTAAATATTGGGTTAATGATCCAATAATAATTGGGCCAAAACCTAATTATGCTTAATCAAAGATTCTAGAGTTTTCTCTAGAAAAATCAACACTTCCACCTTCTTAAAATGTTCTAGAGAGTTGTAGAGAATAAATATCTAGAGATTTCTCTAGATAATTGTTGTAAAATAATCTAGATATTAAAATAGAATTCTCTAGATTTAGGAATAAAATATTTTAGATATTTTATACTTTGAAGGCTATAAATAGCTACCTCCTCTCTCATTTTGTAACTAACAAGCTAAAAGAAATAATAAGGGAAGTTAAGTGAAGTTCCTAAGTTTTCTAAGTTCTAAAACTTTCTTCTTCTTAAATTTGTTCCTTTGTCTTTCAAATACTTAAACACCTTCTCCATCACTTTTAAAAGTTTTTCTTTCCAACAAATTCAAATTCTCCGTTGTTTGAACACAATAGACAAACAAAAGTAAGTCCAGATAGTTTTTGCTAGTTTCAGGATTTTGATGTTTGTTTAGATTTTGCTAATCTGATGATGAATTTTGCTTGTTATTTGGTAGTCGGTTGATTTTCGATAAGGCGAAAGGTGATGCAAACCTTCCGGAGGATTTGATAGAGGAGATAATAAGTTGTGTTCCAGCCAATTTTCTGAAGCAATTACGATCAACTTGCAAATGGTGGAACAGTTTATTCAACAACAGGAGATTCGCAGGCAAGCACTTGAGCAAAGCCCCAAAACAGTATCTGATTCTCATGTTGAAAGAATGTAGGGTTTGTCCGATACGTATCAGAGCCGATGGAATTCCGCAGGTCGCCGGTGAACTTAGCCTGGTCGACCCTCTCTCGAGTTTAGCAGCTCAGTTGGAGATTTCTAAAGTATGTCATTGCGACGGGTTGTTGTTATGCACCGACGAGTTCAGCACCAAAATCGTGATCTGGAACCCGTGCACTGGTCAAACCAGGTGGATCCAACCCGGTGGGTTCCACTACTACAATTTTGGATCCTACCAAGACAACTTGAACCAGGCCAGCTACAAGATATTGGGTTACAGCGAGAAAGAATTCGGAATCTATGAGATCAACTCTAACTCATGGAGACCTCTTGCTGTGACTCTTGATTGCTGCGACATAGGTTATACCGATTACGGCGTGTCTTTGCAGGGAAGTACTTACTGGTTTGGAGTGGATGATGACATAGACAAACAGCTCGGCGTGTTTCTACTCAGTTTTGATTATCAAACTGAAAGATTTGCACGCCTGCCCCTTCCGTATCAGTGGCCTCGTTACCAAACTGCGTCTCTAACAACTGTTAGAAACGAGAAGCTTTCGGTGTTACTACAACGCGAGGAAACATCAAAGATAGAGATATGGGTGTCAAGTGTGGTTGGTGAGACCAAAGTGGTGTCGTGGAGCTTGCTTCTTACAGTGGATTTCCCGCCTCAACCTTCTATTTGGGATGGCGTAACTTTCGTGGTCGACGAGGAGCAAAAAGTCGTCTTCTTTTGTGATAAATACTTTGGCAAAGATGAATTCGACGGCAAAATCTTGGTCCACGTTGTTGGAGAGCACAATCAAGTTAGAGAAGTGGAATTTGGCGCAGTCGTTTCATGGCCTTCTTTGTTTCACTATGTACCAAGTTTGATCCAAATCCAGCAAGGTGGCATAAGAAAAAGAGACTAATAATTCAGTTTCGTTTAGTTTTATTGTATTTCTCTTAATTTGTTTTTTCTCTGAATAAAATGATATTTTGACTAAGAAGTGTTGCAGTATTCATACTTGTCGCATTCTGCAATTGGCCATCATCAGAATAGATAACTGCAGGCTTGCTTGCCTTCGCTTTTCTTGACATTCAAGATGCTGACACTTGATTTTTCGTTGACTTCCTTTTACTTTCTCAAAGATTATTGTATTTTGTTTTTTTACCACATTTGTCTTCAAAGAAAATCGCTTTACGGAAATATACAAGATTCTGTAATCTCCTACACAAAACAAAAGTACTCAAAAGGCACTAAATTAGAGACAAACCCAATAACGTTTGAAAACGAAAGAGACTTTTGATTAGATGCTTCAAAAGTAAACATCAGTAAGTGTTGGATATACAGAACTCTCCACGGTCCAATTTGTGAATATTGGCTAAGTTGATTTGTCACCTAAATGCCTGAAATACGAAAACTATGTTGGGCTTTCGTTAAGAAAAAAAAACTCTAATAGTGTTAAATAGATGGGAACTAAGACACAATTAAATAATTGGACTAACAGTTAAAAGTTACAACCCATTTAATAAATCTTATTGCTTGAATGGGCTTTGCCTAAAACATTTATGACGTGTAAGTTTATTATAGGCCAAGATTCACCGTGTCTGTGTTAAGATTATAAGATTAGCCTTGGCGCATAACTCTCTCCTCTTGCTCGCTTTTCCTTCCTCATCTTCTTCTTCTCTTTTACAAGCAGCATACATATATTCAATCCCCTCGCTTCGGGTTTTCATTTCGGAGATTTGTTCTACGGAGTCAAAGTTTTGTATGATCTTTTCGCAACACTTGTGACATGGAGGCAACTGGCTTTTGGGGAGAAATTGAACGTTCTGAGAGGTAATTTCTTGCTAAATTTTACGAAATTCAGGTTCTGTACTGAAATTGGAGATGCGTATAGGGAGAATCAAATGAAATTTAGTCCAGAGTTTTCCGTTAATCGAGCGATCCTTTGCTTCTTTGTTTTTGTTTTCAGTAACTTTCCAGGAGAATTATATGTCTGGTTTTTTATTCAATTACGCATACAAGTTGGAGAAAGAAAGACTAATCGTATACTTGGAGCAACATAAATCCTAGAATTGAAATGTCTTTGATGACTGAAATTGATATCACACCTGTAAATCATTTTGCGTTTTCTGGGCTTCTACAAGCTGTCGAAAGGAATATGCATTAGTTTCAGATTTTTCGATTGCTCATTGTGTTTTCGTTGGCTGTGTATATAGCTACCTCGTCTGCTCTATGTATCAAGAGGCAGAGTCGTTATCTTCCTCCGTACTGAAACAGATATTTGGCAACATTGATGCTTTGTCTGAGGAAGCTCTTGGTGCTCATCAATTGCATGACATGTTGGAATCTACTGGCATGGTTTTAGTCCAATCCTTGCATGGACTCGGCAGGTACATGGAACTGGATGCTCTAAGAAGCTTTAAAAATTACTACTCTTTGTTGTAGTTTTGGCTTTCTGATAGTTACATTTTTCCTCCGGACAAATGCCTTTTTCCATGCAGGACAGCTGAGATTGTAAATGAGTTAAGACAAGTGTTTGGTGATTTTGCAGCTATTCCTGTTCAAGTTCTTCTCACTGGGTATCGTTCTAATATTTGCTACTTATTAGAATAGACAAGTCACAGAACAATATTGTAGAAATCTGTTTAATCCATCTTCTCTCTTCTTTCTAGAATTTGCCTTCAAATATCAAGTGGTTCCTACTTGGGTGTACGTGAGATTCTGGAAGAGTTCTTTAGCACATGGGTTTACAAGGACAACCGCTATATCATAAACGATGCTGGAGTCAGTGCAAAAAGATTTCACGGGAAAATATCTTTGGATGTTGATGAGTATATGGAAGCTGTGGAGCTGTATACCTTTGGAGTTGTTGGGAAAGTTTCAAACGACATGGGACTAGCCATTTCATGGGTTGAGAAAGCTGCATTGCCTGAAGAAAGACGACAGGTACTATTGAATCTTCTTATGAGTTGTGTGTACAACTTGGGAATGTGATCCAACTAAGATGCTACACTCAAAAATCTCTGTTTCAGGGGCTTTTGAGAAGATTGCGCTCTTTGGTTTTTCTCAAATCAGAGGCTAGTTCTTTCGAGGAAGATTCTTCTATTGCTGGTGTGAATAACAAGAAGTCTTTGGCTAATGACAAAAATGATGAGATTGATTCTGTCCTGAAACTCTCTAAACAACATGAACCTTGGTCATCCAATCCTCTAAGCCTAAAGCTTGGTAATACACGATATAGCATGTCCAGGGGAAAAGTTGCCATAACCCTCGTTGGATTAATCATATGTTATGCTTTGAAGAGAAAACGAGCTGCTTTGATAAGGTAAGAAGAATTCTTCTAAACCTGTTTTAGAACATAGCTATGCTTGAAGCCTTGAATGATCAGAAGTTATGTGATGAAAATATACATTGTGGTGTGTGTTTGTTTACTTGTTTTCAGGATCATTCGCAGACAAATGGAGTCCACGAAGAAAGCAATTGTAGATTTCTGGAAGCTAGCGTTTTCATACCAAGTGAATCCTCTTGCAGCTATTCAGTCCATACCAAGCACCGCAACATGAGGCAATAGGTGTACCGTTCAGTCCCCACAGTCTAGAAGATAGATCAAAGACCTTAATTTTGAATTGAAATAAAGCTGCATCCTTTTCAGTTTTCGGCTAAGGCTTTATCACATTACCTTTATATTTAGCAACTCAAAGTGTGTTGTGGATCCATGTAGAAGAAGGTTTTGTCTGAAAAAAATGCCTTTCTAGTGCCAATGTAATGTGCTGGTGCTATTTTGAATAAAACTGAAGATAATAACAAACACAGAGAGAAACTCTCTTTCATATTTTGGTAACACAGGCTTAAACTTGCGTTTGTCCAACTCATCTTGCTTAAACCAAACCGTAATCATTGAAGATAATAAAGAACATTTTGTATCTGATGGAAGTTTATATTTTGGGACATGATAGGTCTCTCTGATTATACAAACAAACGTTTTGAACGACAACACTTTAATGGCTTAATAGAAGGTAGCTCCAGAGAGCAATGCTCAGTCACACAAGTCTCGGGAAATAGAAGAAACGGAAAAATTAAGATCTCATACTGATTTTATTAACACAGAGTCGCATGCATTGCTCTGTATCTCGGCCTTAGGCCTTGGCGCTTTCAGCCTCAGATTCCCAGAAAGCTGTTTTCTTTCCGGTTTTAGATACCGTCTGCAAAACCGCGTCTGGCTGGACGTTGCCTTTCACCGTCACTTTCTGCTCCTTTATATCCACATCAAATGACTCCACACCTGAAAAAAAAAAAACAAGTGAAGAGATGTTCTACAGAAACGGTGTTTGTAGTCTTTTTGGTAGAGCGGAAGTTTGAAGCAAAAGAAGTTCAGATAAAGCAGGAACTTTGCATTTGAATGACGTCAAGATTGAGAACCTTTTTGTGGAATGAATCCGAATGTATATGTTAAGGTAGGAAAATGAGAAGACAATTGGTCTATAGTAATCTGAGACAGAACATAACAACAAGACTTATGGTAGTGATAGAAAAACTAACCTTCCATTTTCCCAAGGACTCTTTTCACAGCTCCAACACATCCCTCGCATGTCATAGCCACTCTGAGAACAACGGTCTACACCGGAAAACAAAAAGAAGAAAAAACCTCAGCTAATCTATTGTACCACTTGCTTAGATCAAATGGACAAGACAAGGAGTGACATAACTCTGAAAACACGGCGATATTGCTTTAAACAGCAATCGGGTTGTTCAATTCAAAATGCTAACAAAAGTGACAAGTAACACACTGAGCAAATTTCTAAAAAGTCATCCAAGACACCAAAACCAAACCAATTATCTGTTATTCATGATGCAGATTTAAGATCTGTGTTCATGATTCTGTTCTGTCCTCTATAGTATTTGCCCGTTACAGTCTCGTGACAGCGAATAGTCCACATATCATAACTAGATCGAGGAAATGGGGGAAGGAATCCAATAAGATCAGACCATGGATTGAAAAGTTTGAAACCTTTATCTCTATCTAACGGGGGAGAATTGCGATAAAGGAAGTGTCTTTAAGATGACCCAGATCTCGAAAATGGAATTGAAATAAGAGAATCAAAACCCAGTTGAAATACCTGAGACATAGCTTCGATCTCTCACGGAAATCTCCAAGCTTGCAAGTAAAGAGCGAGAGAGAGAAAGACTCAGAGAGATTGTGTGATAAATATGCTTTAGAAATAATATTTGGTATAATGTTATTGGCTTGGTTCATGGTCCATGTCAAGGCAATATCTAATGATTCCAAACCAAAATGATTTGTATATTATTATCTTATAGATGTGATAGAAGGATTATGATGGTGTGTGTAATTCAATAAAATTCTAAAAATAGGAGAAACCTCTGGAAGCAAAGAAATTGATATTTTCTTCTTCTTTATCTAAAGATATGGTTGGTTAATTAGTGCAACGATAGCAGCATTTGTTTAATCCTCATTTCTAAATTAATTTTGGTGGTTGCCAACAAAATCTTCAACTTGTGGTAAAATTGGCACGTAGGACAGATTTTTCATTTTTGCTATGGTAAAGTCGTGCTAAATCTTCGCCTTGTTAGTTGTCAAGTGTGTGCTGTTTAAAAAAGTTAAAGCCGCGTTTTATTATTAATTAACTGTTTTAAAGATTTTATAGCAAATAAACATAACGAATTACTTCTTTTGGGGTATTCATTATCGTTATAAATAACTTTTATTTTATTTATCCTATTAATTCATTACCCAATTAGTTTATCGGGGTCGAGTACGAAAAATCCTACATATCCTTTATAATTTTTTTCCTTGGGGATCAAAAGAAAAAAAAAGAGGAGAAAATGAAGAAAATTACCAAAAAGCTATCGATGAAGTACGTGAAACTCCACAAGTCCCGGCTCCGGCAAGACGGGTCCATGAAGTTGGACGAAGACGGTGGAGAGTTTTTCCGGGAAAATCATTCGCTAGAAAACGAGGAAAGTAGTAATGAGACGAAGGAGACACCTACGGTAACAAAGATTATGGAGTCCATGCACCGTAAGCTGATGCTAAAAGAGAAGACAAATAAAAAGAATATTCACGTGGACGGTCACGATCTGTCAAAGATGTCAGAACGTTCGGTTAGGAACGGTGGCCGAGATCGCAAGGACCAGCTTGAAGGCTCGGTTAATAACATCAAACGTGATGACGTGGATCAGCTTGTAGGCTCGGTTAGAAACGGTCACATGGATCATCTCGAAGATTTGATAAGGGGTCGTGACCGTACGGACCATGTTGAAGGATCCGTTAGGAACGGTGCTCATGATCGTGTGGACCAGCTCGAAGGATGTAGCAAAAACGGTCAGAAATCTCAGCGTGAAGACGTTACTCCTAAAACAAGCGGTCAAGTAGATAAAACAGAAGGATCGAGTAACAAGAAACCTTCTGATTTTGCATCGAAAAAAGATTATCTTGATTGGATTGAATACGTTGAAGGATCTAGTCATCATTGTTTCGATCGATCTGAAGATTCTGAAAAACCTTATAGAAAGGACGATATCATCGATCATGATCAGATTAGCGTCGGGGTATCAGAAGGATCGATAGAGGGGAATAACGATGAGATCCTATTACTCAAGAGCTCGAAGTATAGAAAGAACGAGAAATTTGAAGATTCAAAAGGTTATAAGAAAGGCAAAGGTGGCAAGGTCAAAGATTCATTGAAAAGTCAAATGGTTAACTGAAGGTTGAATGGCCGATTTGTTCCCCGAACAATGAAAAAGAAATGGGCCTTTCACATTGTATAATATGATCAAAAGATCATTTAGTTAGTGTGAACTACTACTACTCTGTATAACTAATATTTTCAATAAAATCTTCGCTTTTACTTGCTTAACAGGATCGTATATGTTATAAGAAATAACAAACGAAAAGAAAAATTTAACAACCGGCTTTTTTTTTAATTGTTACTGTTAGTTGGTTATAGATGTCACCACGATTAATTATCACAAAAGAGATTGAGTGCTACTTGTAATTGATATTATTACATAAAAAAGTCTAGATTTGTAATCGAAAGTGTTCTTGAACCGATATTATCCTAAAAAAAAACCAAAAAGAAGTCAATTAATGTCATTCGAAATCTTCATCTTGGTCATCATATCTAGATAGAATCCGGGAAGTAGCCGTGAGAATGGAACTGTTCCGGAGGAATCTGCTGACCAAAACGTTGCTGGCTCATCATAGAGTCCAACTCGGATTCAGGGACGGTCACACTGTTAGCATCTACAGAAGTTACGTCATGGATACTCGAGCGTTTCTTTGCCTTACTCTCCACGTTTTGCCTCAAGAAATACTTTTGTGCATGGCTTGCGACTTGCGTTGCGGTCCTTGACTTAACATTCATCCTTGCTATGCTCTTCCAATCTCCCCTCCCAAATATCTCTAGACCCTCCAGAAACGACCTGAAATAGCATTCAATCAATCAATCAACCAAAAGCCCATATAACCAAGATCGTTACAAAATCGACATTCTCTTAAAAGTGAAAGCTATTGATGCTTTTATACATACGGTTTACTAAACCAACAAAAACCCCTAATACCTCATCATCATCCTGTAGTTTTATACTTTTCCCGTAACCAAAAAGCAAAAAAAAAAAAAAAACTCTAAATCATCAACCTTAATCGAAACAGTTACTTTCTCGACTCAACGTACGGAAACCCTAGTAATCGTTCATTTTAATCTTTTTAGTTTGTATACTTTCCCCTAACCAACAAAAACCCTAAATCATCATCCATAGCAAGAATTTGAACTGTTAAACTCATATGTTTTACCCAATCAATAGAAAACCTGATTCTCATCAGTGTTAAGACGAACCTGTGTTCCTCTTCTGTCCAAGGAGTTCCCCTCTTTCGATCGTTCTCCACGTGCTTGGACTGGGATGAGATTTCACCTGCTGACGAGCAATCCGGGTAATCTACAGAAACTTGACCCGATTCGATCAGGTCAAGATCGTGGAGCAACGCGTCGTAGTAGCCAAGCACGTCATCAAGCGGTAGCTTCAGATAGACGGCGATATTCTCAAACCTATTCGGAAAATTCTCCGGGAAGAGCACCAGAGCATCCTCAAACCGCTTGTCATCTACCCTCGTCCACTGCTTCCAAGCCATAAAGTATCCTACAAAGTCGTGATAGAAGCAACAAGAATATCGTTCGTGATAGAAGCAACAAGAATATCGTTGGCAAATCTTTTTATCTCCCAAAACAAATCTTTTATCTCCGTTTTTCTTTTCTTTTTCTTTCTTCATATATAGAGAAAACTAATTGGTGAAAATTGCAAAATTCACCCTCGTTTTTACTTTAATTTACAATGGAACCCCTGATTTTTATTTATTTAGCATTATTATACTCAATATATACTCCCTTTTGTCTATTTTTTGTTTGCTTTAGATTATATTATATTATGATTAAACGGAATTCAGTTTCACAAAAAAAGAAAATTCATTTTTTTTCCTATCAAAAGCTCATCTCCGCGTTTAAAAAAAAAATATTGTAAAATTATCAAAAAATATAAATTTATGTTTAGCTGGAAATTAAAGAATAGTGGAAAAATGTGAACTGTTTAATTTTGTGAAAAAATAAAAAAAAAATGTGTAAATCATATATTTAAATTCTCTGTTCTATATTCTATTATATATTTTGTCCATATACATCATATTAAATTTGTATAAAATTTGTTGATCGTTGATATATGGATGTGATTTGTCTGCAGATAGTTTTTGGGACAATGTAACTTTATTAGTAAGAGAAGGATAAAATTATAAAAACAAGGTTTATAACAATTTGCCGCAACACCACATGAGTTTTATGACCTCGATTGATTTAAGTATTCTAATCGCACTTTTCACTCACTCGAAACATTCATACTTATGATAACATGAGTTGGAGTAAGAAGTCCAACCAACCATACCCCTTTCCACAACTGATTTTTGTTGTTGTTGCGACCGCAGATGAACACGGGTCTCTTGTCGGCTTGCCAAATTCATACTGGTGTGAACCGGATTCAAGACATTGGTTCTCCGACGTTTCACTGGCTGCATCTTCGAGCTCTCCCAACTGAAATATTTATGTCCATAGATCGCGACTTGCATCCGGTTTTTAGAAACCAATAACGCCGCTATCTTATACCAATCTCTCGCAAACCGCCTTAACCCAATCAGAAACCATCTGCATTAGATTTTTACAGATCCATATTCGTTAATTAATAATGTTTCACCACACAATTTATTCAAATGAGATAAAAACAAACTTATGGCCAAATATATAAATGTGCTACCAAATATTGTATATTCTACTATTAAAAAAAATCGGCAGAACTTATAATTTTGTATACTTACTCATGTTCTTCTTTCTTCCATATGGTTTTTTGGACCGGAGGCTGCGTAATTGCACCAATCGTTTTACCTGGCAAAGCTGTTTGACTTGATCCGTTCTCCAAGAGGTCTTCGACCATGTCTTGATAGTGCTCCTTAACATCAACATCCGATCTCCGTAGATGCTTGGCCATAAGCTCGAACCGTGAAAGGCAAAACGCCGGAAACAACGACAATGCAGTCCTGAAGCTGTCGTTCTCTTTTTTCGTCCAAGAACTCGAAACCATAGTCACAGCCATATTTCCCTAAACAAATTAAGAAGATAACGAAATCATGAACAAAATATTGTGAAAACTTGAAAATGATATATAATTCATAGATTAAAAAGCTCTTGTAAGGGAAATAACAACACATAAACCAACTCTACTTACAGAAATTGTATCGCTTCTCTTCTCTCTAACTAATTGGGTTGTTCTATATTTTTCTTCTAATGCTTAGGGGTATTTATTTTGTTATGCTGTGTATAGTTTTTCTTTCTCTTGATTTTTTTTTTTGCCATTCATTATCTACAATCATATCCTATTACTGAAAGTTCAATGTATCTTTTTATTTCATAGTAAGAATGACAAATTTTAATCAACTAGATTTTGACGCGTGTGTAAATAAATTTATGTTTGTATATGTATTAGGATTTAGAATTTAATTATATGTATATTATAGAAATATATTGCAAAAGTTACAGAAAAGAAATTTTTTTTTCCTAAGAAAATAATGTTGTGCCACCAAAACAGCTAAAACATTAATTTTTGAGTCAAAAAATTATATAATACCTTTTTTATTTGACAAAAACGTAAAATAAAAATTTCTAAAAAAATGATAAAATTTCAAATTACTAATATAAGAATAACCATTTAAGTAAGAAATCTCTGATAAATATAGTCAGAACCTAAGAATAAATTTTACCGGAATCATTTTAGAGTTATTTTGTTAATTTTTACTAATAGATATACAAAACTAAAAATAATATTATGAATTTCATAAAAATGTGAAAAGTCTTAATATAACTCTAAAATGTTAGAAATATCAATTGAGGAATTGAATTTTGGTTGAGGGGTACCAATTCTCAATAGATTTCTTTAAATAATTTAATACATTAAATTTTATTTAAATATTTTACTGGGGTCATGTGACCCCTTTTCTTTTTACTAGGTTCACCTTTGTATATATGTGTATATGAATAGTTTGCTGGCATATCATCGACTTATATATATAACCAGATTTTTAATATGCAATTTTAAGATCACTTTATATAGTTTATAAGGCTGCATCTATGCAATAAGTTTTTTTTTATAAAAAAAGTCGCAAGCTAAGAAAACAAGGGATACAACTCCATTATTAGTATGTTTGGGCTTTGGAACCGACTTAGAACATCCCACGATATAAATACTACAGTATGACGTAATGAATATGATTTACTTATATACTTTTGTGATATGTGTGATTTATTTCGTTTTTTCTGAATTAACAATTTTTATCTATATATATATATATTTTTTATTGCTGGAAAAAAAAACTGTGAAAATTTGATATTAAATATCCATATTAAAACCTCAGTTTTTTTATCAACAGACTTAGTGTTATAGATAAAATTTAGCTTATACTGTAATATAAGATGAATATATATACAATTGATATATCATATTTGCATCATTTTATATCTATGAAGTGACAGTTGATATCTAGGTTTAGAAGTGTATGTAACTCAAGAATTTGTTTTGTGTTATCCGTATTGACCGAAAAATTGCAGACCCTCTAATTCTTTCAGCGGCTTCAAATTTGATGTTTTCGTTTTTTTTTGTTTTTTTTTGATGACTTGAAACACTTTTATTTGTTTAGAGCCTCTTCGAAACTCACATTTAAATCAAAATCCAAACAACCTACAACACTGATCGATCCAAATTAAAATCCAAAATAACATATAGAAAGGTATATAGTTCGGCTAGTTGTGTCGGTTATTTTAAGATGGAAATAGTACAACGGTCCATCCTAAATATCGATCGAAATTTCATGATAACATAACTTCTCATAATAATTTTTTTTTTTTTTTTTGTAATATTTGCCTTTGAGGAAAATGTATATTACTACAGTAGTTGTTCAAGGGATCATCCTACGGGTAGTGCTGATTGCTAATTAAATATGGTAACACTAACTAGTTGAATTACGAATACTAGGGATGTTTCCGCGCTACGCGCGGATTGTTTTTATATAGATATTTGATTATTATCTAAGTTAAATTATTTTTACTTTAAGTTAATATTTTAAATATAATATTTAATTTTTAAAATTGTTTTGATATGATTATATATCAAAAATATTTTAATATATTCAAAAAATGTATCATGATATAATTTTAAGAATTACCTACTTGATATATGCTAAAATTAACTGTTAATCTAAAACTTAATATTTGTATATAAACTCACTGTTATTCACTACTAACTTTCAAAATATTATTAAAATTATTTTTTGTTTTGACTAAATTTGATTATTATTGTTCCAATTAATTTAGTTTTTTTATTTTTATTTCAACTGTGTTCGTGTAGTGTTTTTATTTAATTAGCAATCTCAAATACAAACAACACTCAATGTTCTAATCTCTTATAAATCTATAAAATAACTATGATTCATATAAATAAAAACAATATTTACATAGTATAAAAAATCACAATCATATTGATAAAATGCAATTTTGATTTGGTCTATGAAATATACGTAAACTATAAAAAATATAGATGAATAAGGCAAGTAATACATATAAAAATATAATTTCATACTAACTCATTATGTTAAATAAAGTATGTTGAGTTTCTCAAAACTCAAAAGATGTAAAAAATTTTGCTTGTAATTTAACTTAAACATTTTTTCTTAAACTACACATATATATTTTGATGAACCTTTATAATTAAACTAATAATATATATTGTATTATTTTTAAAGGAGTTTCTTAACCCTGTAAAAAAAACCATATTAGTTTTTCATTCAAGTTGGGTTTATAAGGAATTTTGTTGATGTGGATAATTAGAGATTTTTTTAGACATTTTCTTCTACATAAAAATATGTATGTTATTTTTTCAAAAATGCATTATTATTTAATTTAAAAATTTACTAACTTGATATATATAAAAATTAACTGTCATCTAAATTTTTTTTTTTTTTTTTATAAACTGTTTAACTCATGCGCTGACATGTATCGCTTGTAGTAACTTGATTACCTTAAGCCAACTAAGACACACATTGAATAAATATCAGTGCATAAAATTCTTCTTTTGTCTATCATTTTCTGCAATGTAAATAGTAACGATGATCGAAATCTTCATATAGATAGATGCTTTGAAAAGCTTCCTATAATTTATGTTTTCTTGTTGGTTGTCATAAATCTAACGTACTATGATGTTTAATCTTTATGTTTCTAAAAGGTGAATGGTTTAGATTTTTATAATTTGTAAATATTTTAAATTTTATTTTAGAAATTATTATTTTGTAATCTTGTTTCTATTAACTATTATTTAAGTTTTTTAGAGCAATTTCTTGTCCAATATATTCACTATATTACAAAAAGGAGTATATATTAATGCTACAGATTTAAATGATATTTATTTTACTGATTTCAAAAATGATATTTAGTTTTATTTACTTATTCCTAATAACTATATTAACTTAGTGGTTCTATTTATTTATTTTATGTGTATTTTAAAAGATATAAAGTAAACTTTTTTATTATTGTTATATTACAAACAAAAGAAGTATATATTGATGCTATAAATTTAAATGATGTTTATTTTACTGATTCAAAAAATGATATTTTAATTTTATTTACTTTTGTTCGTAACTATATTAATTTTAGTGACAAAAATGAGTATATATTAATGCTACAGATTTAAATGATATTTATTTTACTGATTAAAGTGATATATAGTTTTATTTAGTTTTTGCTAATAACTATATTAATTTAATGGTTCTATTTATTTATTTTATGTGTATTTCAAAAAAATCTAAAGTGAGAATTTTCATTATTGTTAATTTGTTATATTACAAACAAAAGAGTATATATTGATGTTATAGATTTAAATAATATTTATTTTATTGATTCAAAAAAATAATATTTTATTTTTATTTACTCTTGTATTTAACTATATTAATTTTGGTTTTATTTATTTACTTTATGTGTATTTCAAAAAAATCTAAAGTGGGAATTTGTATTATTATTTTTTGCTGATGTGTCATATTTTTAGAGTAGTTTGAAAAGCTGAGATGGATAGCTTAAGGAGCCCCAAATAGTTCCTTTTATTTAGTATAGATTTTAACTTAATTGAGCCCTTAATTAATTTAGCATTTGGACAAACAAAGAGAGAATATTGTAAACAAATGCTGTTTACGTGATTTAAATGATGATTTACCAATATGCTTGTGTGATAAAATGTGAATACAAAAAGAAGCTACTTTCATATTTTAACTAATCAGTACCCCTATATTTGGTGGTATTTACAGGAAAAGCCACTGAACTCTATCTCCTTTCTTCTTCTTTTTTGTATGTCTCGTCCTCTTCCGCAATCTCCCATTATAAAACCACCTCTTTCAAAACTCTATATTGACCCAACCGAATCCGAAATGGAGGCCCAATACCGTAACCACGGCGGAGACACCTCCTTCTCTAGCCTCCGTGTCTACCTCAATTCTCTCTCCGACACTCCCTCCCGATTTTCCCGCCGCGCTGTCTCCGTTTCCACCTCTTATGACGAGATGAGTCGCGTTCGCTCCGTCTCCGGCGAGCAGATGCGCCGAACTCTCCGGTGGTACGATCTCGTCGGACTCGGAATCGGAGGGATGATCGGCGCCGGAGTCTTCGTGACCACTGGCCGTGCTAGCCGCCACTTCGCTGGCCCCTCAATCGTAGTCTCCTACGCAATCGCAGGCCTCTGCGCTCTCCTCTCCGCCTTCTGTTACACCGAGTTCGCCGTCCATCTACCCGTCGCCGGCGGTGCCTTCAGCTACATCCGTATCACATTTGGTCAGTCTATATATACTCTCCCGCCAAAAATCGAATCTCCTCCTCCCCTCCAATAATAATTACGTCTCTGTGAAAGGGAAAAAAAAAAGAAGCTCAAAAATTCAAAACTGTAACCGTTTTTCAAATTTCTGTTTCAGGCGAGTTCCCGGCGTTTCTAACCGGAGCGAATCTGATAATGGACTACGTTATGTCAAACGCCGCCGTTTCGAGAGGATTCACGGCTTATCTCGGATCTGCATTCGGAATATCCACTTCCGAGTGGAGATTCGTCGTCTCCGGTCTCCCAAAAGGATTCAACGAAATCGATCCGCTTGCCGTTCTCGTCGTCCTCGCCGTCACCTTCATCATCTGCTACAGCACGAGGGAGAGCTCGAAGGTGAACATGGTGTTAACCGCATTGCACATTGCATTCATCGTATTCGTGATCGTGATGGGCTTCTGGAAGGGCGACACGAGGAACCTAACCCGACCCGCTAACCCGGATAACCCGTCCGGATTCTTCCCGTTCGGAGCTTCGGGAGTGTTCAACGGAGCCGCAATGGTGTACCTGAGCTACATAGGGTACGACGCCGTTTCGACAATGGCAGAAGAAGTAAGAGACCCGGTCAAAGACATCCCCATGGGAATCTCTGGCTCAGTCGCAATCGTCATTGTACTCTACTGCTTAATGGCCATCTCCATGTCCATGCTCCTCCCTTACGACCTGGTCCGTACCGTCGTCGTATATATAATTGGGAGAGTTTTTGATTTTGTTTTCAGCTATTACTGTATATTGGTTTGGTGAATAAGGGTAATGATCAGGTGTGGGTGGGTGTACGCAGATAGAACCTGAGGCACCTTATTCGGCGGCGTTTAGTAAATCGGAAGGGTGGGAATGGGTGACGAAAGTGGTTGGGATTGGAGCAAGTTTTGGGATATTAACGTCGTTGTTGGTTGCGATGTTGGGTCAGGCTCGGTACATGTGCGTCATCGGACGGTCAAGAGTGGTCCCCGCTTGGTTCGCTAAGGTCCATCCCAAGACATCTACTCCAGTCAACGCTTCCGCTTTTCTTGGTAACTCTCTACATTTTCTTTGTTCCATTCAATTAATACTAGTATTAGCAATTTATATCAGTCAAATCTAGAAAAACGTTTTTTTTCAAAACCAACATAAATTCCGTAAAATTAATTTAAGGTTATGTTGGGATTTTCCTTTCGTCAAGACCCGGTTTATGTTTTCTCTCTGTTTTATTTTCTTCAAGTGATAGAGAGACAAAGACAATTGAGGAGTGGGACCCGATATCAAACAATTTTTCCATGATCTTTTTTTGGATTTGAGTGTAATGTAGATCATACTCTCCACGTGATTACACGCATATACGTGTAGAAAAGGAGAAGAAAAATAAAATCAAACATTCACTTTAAAACAAGAAGAAAGCTTCAACTACTTTTGATTGTGATTGTGGTTGTAGTAGGCTCGTAGCTCTGAGACTCTGTATCTATAACTAATGTAGGCCATGTCTTACTATGTTCTTATGTGATTTTTCTTGGTGCTGGGTCTTAATTTAGAACACAGAATCCGACAAAATGGTGTGCTCATGCTCATTAACGGGTTCTAAAGGTTCAGTCTTTTCAACGGTCTTGATTGTGACATATTGTTGGGTCTCTTTGGTCCCTTTATTGTCCTTAAGTTTAATCCTAAGTTATATACTCATGCCTCTTTCTTTCTTTCAAGCTCTCAAAATTACGAATTTATGCTACTTTTGCGCATAACATCTTTAGGCCAGGTCATTAGTCTAGCCAAAAATGTAGTATATATTAGCTAATTACTGGTGTGTAAGATATTGGTAAATCATTATTTTAAAATTATAAGTTGCCCAAAATGGATGAGTCGTGTCGTTGTAGCGAATCTAGACCCACACTTTTCTTTTATTTGCATATTCCTTCTTATAAGCATTTTTCCCCCTTCATTTTGCTGATCTAAAAGAGTTTGAATACTTTTGCAAATTGAAACACTATATTTTTTTTATAAATGTATTGAAACTCAAAAATACATATAGTTTGACCAATTTTGCATGAAAAATATAACCCATCTTATAAGAAAAGTGTTTTGTTTTAAAATTTTGGAAATTTTGAGACTTGTGATCTACTTATAATCTTTTTGGACATTATACGCAACGAGAGATCTTGAACGTGGAATAAAACTCAAATCTTTCCGCGCAAAAGAAAAATATTCTTATCCACCAAGTGAACTAATGGAACACATTCCTCCAATATCTTCAATTTTGTTACGAAATTAACTTTGTAGTTTGTACTATACATCATGGAATATATCTGCATGATATCAAATACTAATATGATTTTTCGTCTGCTTAACTACTAAAATGTTTGTATTGTGTTTGTTCAGGAATCTTCACGGCGGCGCTCGCCCTCTTTACCGACCTAGACGTCCTTTTAAACCTAGTTTCAATCGGAACCCTCTTCGTCTTTTATATGGTCGCAAACGCTGTAATATTCCGGCGATATGTAGCGGTTGGATACACCAAGCCCTGGCCCACACTCTCCTTCCTTTGCCTATTCACCATAACCTCAATCGTCTTCACCTTAGTTTGCAAACTCGCACCGTCGAGCCCACTTAAATGGTTCATGCTTGGAGCCAGCGCGGTGGCGGCTGTAGCCATCGTGCAGATATTCCATTGTGTTGTACCTCAAGCTAGGACTCCTGAGTTTTGGGGTGTACCGTTGATGCCGTGGACTCCTTGCGTTTCGATATTTTTGAACATATTCTTGCTTGGATCGTTGGATGCTCCATCGTATGTCAGATTCGGGTTCTTCTCGGGATTCGCCGTGCTCGTGTATGTGTTTTATAGTGTTCATGCGAGCTATGATGCTGAAGGTGATGGCTCTCTAGATTTCAAAGACGTGGAAAGTTTTGAGAGAATCAACATAATTTTGAGTTAAAATTTTTAGTAGATTAAATCTTGGTGAAAATTTTGCTGTCATTCCTTTTTTTTGTCTCTTTATTATAGGAGTTGTTTAATTAAATTTTTTTTTTTGGGTCCAAAATTTAATAATTTTGTTTCTTTATCGAAGAAAAACAACGCTTAATAAAACAAACGGAAGCTAGTGGCATGTCCATTGTCATAGACTTCACAGGATTGCCTTCACTTTTTCTTGACTTTCAAGATGTTGACAGTTGACACAGTCTACAAAGTGTTTGTCTCTTGATTTTCGTTGACTTTCTATTACTTTCTCAAAAACATGGATTTTGATTTTCCACATTTGTCTTTGACATTCGCTTTACAGAAATAGAATATTCTATGTAGTTCTACACAATACAAAATATTCGGAAGGCACTAAAATATTGACAATCAATAACGATTTTCTCCCCAACATTTTCTCACAAGTTTGGAAAACGGATGAGACTTGTAATTAGATGCTTCAAAAGTAAACATCAGCGAGTAAGATCGGATATTGTTATCCTCCACCAATAAAAGTAAAACTAAAGTTCGTATTATTCCATTCGTTATGTCGAAAATGTAGTTTTCCTAGTAGTCAAGTGGTGCAACTATATCATATAATCATAGATAATGTGTTAATTAACATCCACGAAAGGACTATCAACATACGCTTTTAATATTTCAACTTGGTTTGTTCGTCTGGAACTTGGAAGAAAGAACCTCGTTTTAAAATACTGTAAATTTAGTGTTCTTAGCTTTTGATATCTGTCCGTTGTTTTTTTTTAAATACTGAAGTAGAACTTGACCTCCTCCAAGAGCCATCAACTTGACATTTAAAATTATGAGAATGGTTACTCTCCATGGTCCCAAATTCCCTAATGTATTAAATTTGTTACATCTTATGTAGGCCCATATACACAGATTTGTCACATGAAAGCCTACTGTATACGTACGATGCATAAATTGAAGCTACGTTGGGCTTAAAATTCCAATATTGTCCAATAGAACTAAACCACACACAAAAGAAATTAGACTAACAGTAAAAGCCCATTTAGTAAACACTATTGGTTGAATGGGCTTTGTCAAATACGTTCGATAGCGTGTAAGTTTACTATTGGTCAAAAAGTACGAGCCTCGTAGAAACCCTAATAAGATTCTGATATATATACAGAAATTTTCGCCGGCTCCGTTTTTTTAGCTTTCTTCTGTATTTGCCGCCGCTTCCTCTGCAATCCAGCTCCGGCCAGGTCGTACCGGTACGTTCTGCTTAACTCAAATCGCACGACATTGTTAATAAACACATACGGAAATTCTACATCCCCGTGCTTAAAATTTGATCTACATTTTCGATTTATGTCAGAAGTTTTAGAATTGATAGTCTTAGATTTTGCTAGTTCTGTTGCACACGGGGAAGAAAAATAAAAATAAAAACCTTTTGAACTCCATTGATCTACTTCAAACGCCGCTTGATTTTGAAGGTTTCCTTTAATTTGTGTACAATTTTCTTTATATTTGAGTAGGATTAACAGTACATAGAAGAACATTATTAGTTTAAGACTGTCTAAGATTAAATTCTTTTAAATTATTTGTGATTGATTGATTGATTGATCTCTCTTGAGTTGTCTGCTTCACTCTAGATTGCATCATTTACCCGAATGTGGATCCTGATTTTGAATTTCGCACGAGGAATTGCGTCATAAAGTGTAGATCTCTATCTGAGCCATTCTCAACTGTGAATAGAACATTTCTTGTAATCTCTCTGTCTAAGTATAGATTCTTTTTACTATAACTTTTTCTTGTTGTTGCTGTTGTTGAGTGCTCTCTCATGGTTTGGCTTATATTGTGTGCAGGTAAGTAAAAACGTAGTGAAACATCATGGGTCGTGTTCGTACCAAGACTGTGAAGAAATCTTCACGTCAGGTGATTGAGAAGTACTACTCTCGGATGACTCTCGACTTCCATACGAACAAGAAGATCTTGGAAGAAGTTGCAATCATCCCATCAAAAAGACTACGCAACAAGATTGCCGGGTTCTCGACCCACTTGATGAAACGTATCCAAAAGGGTCCAGTCCGTGGAATCTCCCTCAAGCTACAAGAGGAAGAGCGCGAAAGGCGAATGGACTTTGTCCCCGACGAGTCAGCCATTAAAACCGATGGCATTAAGGTCGACAAGGAGACTCTGCAGATGCTTGCTTCTTTGGGAATGTCTGATACTCCTGGCATTTCTGAAGCGGAGCCACAAGCTATGGGACCATTTCGCCCTCCAAGAAGATTCTAAGCCTTTATTTTTATCCTTCTGAACCTGAATCAAAGCGTTTGGTTTTGTTAAAGAGTGTTATGGATCCAACGTTGTTTTCTTTGATTCAAGATTAATGTCTTTTTAAGTTTTAATTTACAGCTCTCGTTTATGCTATGATAATTTTGTTTTGCATCTTACGTCAGTGGATTTAAACTCACTTTTTATATGTTCTCTTTCGTGTACCCATACTAAAAGTCTTGATCAGTTTCAAACATTGGGGTGTAAATTGAAATGATCCTTGATGAGTGAGGGGCGTAAGTGTAAAATTATATACTTATTCCCGAACGCGTGGAAAAAATAGGTTTGGCTCGAAATCAAGTCGCGCCTCTAATGGCATTGTGTCGATATCTTCTCTCACATCATTCATCTTCCCCGCTTGTTATTCCTTTCTCCCGAAATTACCCCTCGAAACCGCTAAGATTATCCAGCCTGCCCTTCTTCCACCACGGCCGTCAGTCTCCGGCATCCTCCTCCTCCTCTGCTCGGTGTTCTTCGTCTTCATCCATGGAATCTCCTCCCGAAGGTTACAGAAGAAATGTCGGTGTCTGTCTCGTGAATTCCTCCAAAAAGGTGATTGATGATGAATTCTCTCAGAACCAGCCTCTTCTTCTTCTTCTTCTTCTTCTTCTTATCTCAGGTTGTATTTACTGATAACTCGTTTTCAATCACTGCAGATTTTCGCTGCCTCGAGGTTGGATATTCCCAGTGCTTGGCAAATGCCTCAGGTAATCTCTAGACTCGATTTTGTTATTAGATTTGAATCACTTCTCTCTGGATTTGCTTTATGATTTTAATCGCATAGTTGCTCAATTCAATGGTTGATGATCCGAATTGAATCATTCAAATTTTCGATTTTGTATCATTGATGTTGAAAGGGTGGAATCGACGAGGGTGAAGATCCACGAGTTGCAGTCATGAGAGAGCTTAAAGAAGAGACCGGAGTTCACTCCGCTGAGATTATCGCAGAGGTTCAGCTTCTTCTTCTTCTTAAACTAATATAGTTCATGGCCTTAATCCAAATCTCAGCCACTTGTTTTAACAACATTAGCTTCTTCTTATTTCTTATTCATCTCCAGGCACCTCACTGGGTAACGTATGATTTCCCACCAGATGTTAGGGAGAAGCTTAAGGTCCGGTGGGGATCTGATTGGAAGGGTCAAGCACAGAGATGGTGAGCCTTTTGAGTCACTCAGAGATATGATCAAGGTTCATCTCATTTCATTTCGAGCTTGTTGATAGAACTGACTGTGTCCTCGGTGGAATTCTCAGGTTTCTTCTGAAATTTACTGGGAAAGACGAAGAAATCAACCTTCTTGGTGACGGAACTGAGAAACCTGAGTTTGGGGAATGGTCCTGGGTATCTCCTGATCAACTCATTGAACTTGTGAGTGTAGTTTTCTTCTATTTTCACCAAAATTGTGTTAAGTTTCAGCTTTTAGTTTCTCTACTACTTCACTTGCTCATCTTCTTCTGTTTCCGATTATTTTCAGGCGGTGGATTTCAAGAAGCCAGTGTACAAGGAAGTCCTGTCAGCTTTCGCTTCTCATCTCCAGTAATAAGAAACCCAAACCTCACTGTTTTAAGCTTTTTGGTAACAAACTCGAGAATAAGCTGTTCTTTACATATTTGGCTTTTTGCATAATCCATGAATGAAAAATACAATCATTTTCTTATCTGATCTAAAGCAAAAAGTGTGAGATCCTGTCATTTTTATCTAATTTTTTTTCTCATCAAAGATGCTCTCGATTTGATCCGCAACAACCTTAGCGACAACCTCAGGAGCAAAGTTCTTGACCATGTCTTCTCTTCCACGGTTTCCTTTAACCTTAGCCTCATCAGGTTTACTCATTACATGCCTCATTAGAACCCTAAGCTTAACCACAGATGGCTCTGCCCATAGATGCCCTTCGAAAGGACCTTCCTTCACTTCACTCATCTCCTCAACCACCAACGGGTAACCGTTCTCTTCCGTCAGATACTCTGTTGGTCCTGACCAGTTCGTTGCGATCACAGGCAAAGACATTGCCATGGCTTCCACTATCGGTCGTCCCCATCCTTCTCCTCTTGTAGGCAGCACAAACGCATCAGCCGCTTTGTACAACCGAGGCAGATCAACTTGAGCAATGTGTTTGTCAATCACATACACAAAAGGGTAACCATCTCCAGGCTCCTCTAGACTCACTTCTTCTACGAAATCTAGAATCTTGTTCCCGAAATCGCCGTCCGAGTGATACGGGTTTGTCAACAAAAACAGAGCAACGTTGTCTTTACCTGAGAACTCTCTCAGGTAAGCTTTCAACAACACATCCCAACCTTTTCTCTGCTCCCACTTAAACACACTCAAGAACACAAACCCTGAACCTGAATCCCTCGTTCCAGAACCCAAAACCAAATCCCCAATAGGTATCAGATCCAACGGCTTGTGCTTGGAAGGATCGAAGAAGTCGACATCTACAGGTTGCACAATCTTGACGACTTTAGACGAATCAACCCCGCTTTGTACAAACGAAGAGACATGAAACTCAGTAGGAACCCAGACTTGATCCATCTGGTTGCATCGCTTCACGTGTTCTGGATTGACCCTATCAGTCTCAAACATTGTTCTACCGATCACAGATAAGAAGTCTCCGTAACCAGTGGGAGGACAAGGAAGAGTCTCGAACAATGGTGGATACCAAGCACCAGGCTCGCTATGGCAAACGACGATCGTCTCGTTGGGTATACACTGTGTTCTGTACATTTCGATCGCTACCTCTTTCGTCTCCTTGGCTAAACCATTCCAAAACTCCAACGATTCCAGATCGCCGTGATGCTCGATGGTGATTTGAAATCTAGGGTTTCTGAGATGCTGATGAAGTGATAAAATGTAGGACCAAGCCTCTGAGCTGTAACCACCACTCGAGAGGAAAGGAGCCATCCATAACACGCAATGGGACGTCGAAGACGATGGGTTTGGAGTTTCGGATTTGGAATTGGGAGTTCCGTCGTAAAAGCCTAGAAGAAATTGAAGATGGCCATAGAAGCGGTTCGCAGTGAAGGTGAATCTCAGACTTTGGGTTTTGTAGAGATCAGTCGTAGTGAAGCCGAGTAAGAATATAGAAAGAAGAAGGAATAAGATCGAAGATAAATAGACGAACGTGGAAAATTTCCATGGTCGCTTGTTCCGATCTATTGGCTGCTTCATCGATGCAGAAAGAGAAGAGCAAAGAGTGACAGAGAAACAGAGTGGAGAGGAAGATTGACAGCGATGAGAGGCCCATTAAGATTAATGTTGGCCCATTTAGCCGATTTTTGGGCTTTACAAATTACACTGTTCTATCACTTCTTAGAACCCAGATGATTGTGCAACTAGAGAAATATCATTTGAGTTTTAACAATATAATGATCGGAGATATGTGAAAAAAGAGAGAAGAAGATGAGATTACATCAATTCAATTTTGAAGCTGAGATTCAATTATTATAAAAAATCCAATTACAGAGCCAAAAGAAAAGTTGTAAACGTTATGCACAAACTGATTAAAAAATACTAAGGCTGAAAAAAAAAGCTTAGTAGCTCCCACTCCACAAAGAGAATCGCCGGAACTTATCCCCGGAGAGAAGCTCGTGGCACCGCCGGTAATCCGAACTCATCCTCAGCCTGTTAATCGAATAACCTCCCATTAGGCAAAAAATCCATTAATAGCTAACCATACTTCGAAGCATTTCAAATTTCGAAAGTTGAAAATTCAGTGTGAAGAGAGAGATAGAAAAGGGTTAACCTGAACTCGACCCGGTGGAGCTCCGGTGGGTACTGTAGGCAAGTTAAGCTCATCATCGTAATCAGTTTGCTTGTCGGGTTGAAGATAAGAAGGCATTCCATCTGCTTCGGTCTCGTTTCCCATGTCAGCTTCAAGAGCTTCAAGCTCTGAAATTAACCAAAACCAGTTAAAAAATTTGTCAAGTGAAAATGTAAAGTACTTGCGTTACTTATTCCAATTACGCAACGGAAACTTTACCTCCCATGAGATCGTCTTCGTCAAGGCCATCAGGAACACTGTAGCTCCTACCGAGTGTTTCTTGAATTTCAGAACTCACGTCCATCAGATCCATCATCTCATCTTGCAGGTTCTGTACCATCAGAGATAGTATCAGGCAAATCGAATACCAGAGAGGAGCTTGAAGTAAGATAAACCAAGGTGTTGTAATTAGAATTTAACGTACATCGATATCTTGAAGCTTTACGGTTTTCATCATTCCTTTCAACTCCTTGTTCGCAGATTTTAGTGCCGTCATCTGCAGATTTAATAGATACGCAAGACAAAACATTCAACATAAAACACCTCTTGTCAGATTTGTAGAAGGGTAAGAACAAAAGATACATACAGTTTGCTGAGCATCTTTGAGGCCTTCAGCGGCGAATGAAACTTGATCGAGATTGAATGTCTGATTGTAGAGCATGTCGCGTTGTCCTTCATACCTAATTCAGCAAAATAAAGCTGAAGTGTTTATCAACCAAAGCCAATGAACAGAGTAGCTGTAAATCGAATTGATTCAGGAATTGCCTAGCGACTCACATTTTCTTCTGCTTCAGAATCCTCATAGCACGAGCTTTGAGAGCTTCTTGAGCTGGACCAGGTCTTGTCTTTTTGATCTGTTCTCTGTATTTGCAGAGCTCAACATCGAGCTTCTTTATCCTATCTTCTACTGAATCTCCTCTTTTATTTATCTGACAAACATAAAATTGCAACAAAGCTGAGTGTCTTTTTTTCTTTTAGATCTTAGTGGTTCCAATAGCTCTTAAGCTTTCCAACGATTTTCTCTATCAAATTTCATTTATTTTTTTCAGCCAATCCAAAGTGAAATCTCAAAAACCGCTTTTATCTATAAAGAATGATCGATGATCAAAGATGATTAAACCCAGAAATCAACATCTCCATAAATCGCTACACAAAATCCAATGATTCGCCACATTACTTTACAAACGATTTAAAGAGTAAATCCCTGGATGGAAGAGAAAAATATAGAATAATAGAAACGAGAGGACAAACCCGATCAGAGGCATCCTGAATGGACGGAGGAGGCTCTGTGTTCTTTTTCGCGCCGAAAACTCTTCTCATAATTCTTCTACTTTGTGAACAAATCTGGGAAAGTTAGATAAGACAGAGACTTGGAAAGAAAGAGAAATCGAAAATTTGGAGAAGAAGAAGGTGTCTCTCTAAAGGGTTTCGAATTTATCGATTTCTTTTAAAAGCTAAATAGTAGCACGATATTATAATAATCCTATTTGGAATGGGTAAACACGAAACTTTCAATTGGTCAACGAGAAGAAGTTTCCTAGATGGTAACGACTTGGGTTTACTCGATTTCGGTTTGGTTTGATTATGCAAACCAAATTGAAGAAGGCGTTTAGTAGCGTAAACCAAAAACGCTAAGGAAAATTTGACAAGATGTGTTAATACAACAAACACTAGGATAAGAGTTTTTATATAAAGAAAACAAAAAGAGAGAGGGAGAGAGACAGAGCTACTCTTACAGATTCCAGTACTTTGTGAAAAAAATTACAAAACTTTCCTACAACTTATAACCCTGAACATTTAAACCCCCCAAATCCTGACTTTTTGACACGAAAATGACACAGACGACGAAACAAAACCCACTTTTACCTCTTGCATCAAAAGACGATATGCTCTGAACCCAAGCTGCCGGAATATTAAAAAGACCAAAAGGCTGATAAAAAATGACTTCTCTTCATGAGCAATATGTTTTTGTATAGTGATGATCCTCCACAGTGCTTACTTCTTTCTGTTGGTTTTCTTGGCTTTGAAGATTCTGCGGCCCGACTTATCGCCGCCTCCGGTGCTGCCCAGTGAGAAGCTCCCACCTCCTTGGAACTCTAGACTCTGCGATGCCTGAAAAGGTGATGCGTTCTGTGGTGTGCTTCCCATCGCTTGGCCTCCAAACTGGAACGGGTTAGCATTCGATGGAGGCGGCGTTGCTGGTGCTCCGCTGAAGGTAAAGCCTGGATGAGGCATTGAGACAGGCGGCTGTCCAAACGTCGGTTGTCCAAACGTTGGTTGTCCAAACGTTGGCTGTACCATGGATGCTTTATTAGCTTGGTCTGTGTCTTCTGCCATACTGTCTTCCATGCTCATTTGTTGGTTATTATTGTTGAAACCGTTTGTATTTGGTGGTGTACCAAACGAAAACGCAGGAGTTGAGTTGCTAAACAGAGACTGTGACGGAGTCGCTGAGGGGGCTGGGTTACCAAATACCGGCTGCTGAGGAATGGCAGGACCGGTTGAGCTGAAACCAAAGTTGGGTGAAGATGACGGCGTGCTGCTAGATGCAGCAAAGACGGGAGCAGAAACACTTAACCCAGTAGCAGCAGAGGATCCTCCAAATGTATAGGTAGGAGATGAAGAAGTGGTGACCGAGGAACTAAAGAGTGGAGCAGACTTGGGAGCTTGCCAGTTTGTCCCAAACACGGAAGAGCTCGTTGCTCCACTAGAGCTTCCAGAGGAGTTTGTTGAACTCAGTTGAGGTGTTGAACCAGAAGTAAACATTGCAGGTTCTGACTTTGATAATCCAAATGGAGAACTGTTTGATAAAGTGTTCCCAGACGAACCAAATGAAGGAGCTGATGCAGACGACGCAAACTGGAACAGGGCGCTTTGAGTTGCAGTTGTGGTTCCGCTCCCAGTATTATTACCCGTCTGACCATTTGCAGCACCGAAAATGTTTGAGGCCTGAGATTGAGAGCTAGCTGCAGAAGCCGATGAAGCAGCATTGAATCCAAAAACACTGCTGGCAGAGGAAGCACCAAAAGCATTGCTTCCAGTAGTAGCTGCAGAAGCCGATGAAGCAGCATTGAATCCAAAAACACTGTTGGCAGAGGAAGTACCAAAAGTATTGCTTCCAGTAGAAGCTGCAGAACTCCCTGAAAATTTGCCCGTCTCTGTCGCAGGGGTTATCACACCAGATATGAAGCTTCCAGATGCAGCACTAGAAGAGTTCAATGTGCTGCCACCAAAGATATTATTATCTGCATTTGCCACAGCAGGAGATGACCTCCCAAACTCAAAATCTGGCTTGCTTTTAATATCGGAGGATTTAACAGCAAAATTATTTCCGGTGCTTGTATTTGCTGAAGCCATACCACTAAACTTGAAACCGTTTGTATTTCCAAACGATGGGTTTTTCACTTCAGTCTCCTTTGAGATCTGACCGCTGGCTGCAGACAACGTTGACGCAGCAAATGGCGCTACAGTTTCCCCAAACTTGAAAGGTGATGCAGAAGAGAGGGGAGGTGCGGAAGTTGATTGTGAGTTGCTGACGGAGTTGCTGTCCTTACTGGTCACAGTGCAAGATACCTCACTCACAGAATTAACGGAAGGTATACTAGGTGGGAAGGACGGGCTTGAAGCAACAGAGCCATTAATCAGAGGTTGGATGACAGCGTTTGCTCCACCTGAGAATATACTACCATTGAGGGTTGGTGCAGCTGAGGTAGTTGACTCAGCTCCAGAAGCACTGTTGCTGATAGTGTCCTTTATTTCAGTTGGCTTTGCAAAAACCTCGGATACTCCGAAAGCAGAGCTGAAACAGCAAGAAAGAGAGTCAGATACCAGTAAACCAGATTGAAACTTTCATACCCAATATGGATGAGGCTCACTGACACGAGTAATGTAATTATTGTCTATAAGCTGCAGGCGAAAATAATTATGCCACCAACCTGCTCGTTTTTTCTGACTTGATGCCTGCAGATGCATTATTGTTTTGATTTAATAAGTCAGTGGCCGCCGGTGACAAGAAGGTGTTGGGAAACACAGCAGCAGCTTTTTTAGGCTCTTCCCGAGATATAACTTTCTCATCCGAGGTAAGATTGCCAAGAGAAATACTCGATTTCTCGGTCCCTTGGATGAACTCTGAAGATGGCTCAGATGCCATATCACTTTGCTGAACAGATTCAATGGGTAAAGCAGAAAATTGGCTCCTTCCAGTTTCCAGAGACCCATTAGAAGTACCCTGAGAGGCGTCACCATTAGGAATTTTTGACGTAGAGGGTATGGCCTCAGATGAAGTAAGTAATTTCTCCCCTTTAGGCATGCTGATACCAACACCATTCTCCACTTTAAAGGCATTCTTTGTTTCTGCCACCTCAGATGGAGTAGATGCCGCACCATCATCATCATCCAACTCCAAGAAATCCTGCATTATTTAATTCACAATTGTATATATAGATGGTCAAAGGGTGTGCAGTAAGAAATATGGTCAAAGGTAATACACATGATATAAACAAATAAAAAAAACAGCCGATTTTAATTGTTAAATATAAAAGCGCAAAATCATATTTACAGCTAGAGGTGTGAGGGTTGGCATTTCTAAGATTGCTCGCTTTGACACTCTTATTGCATCTTGAACATTCTGGAAATATAAATATAAGAAATAAACAATATACCTCATCCGCAATCATCCGAAATGCTCTCTTTTTTGGAGGATGCTCTTCCAAAGAACTCGTGAGAGGCAAATAAGCGCCTTTATCATGAGTCTCCTGATATTTACTAGAACCTGCTATGCTTGTGTGATCAACAGTACCACCAGTCTTCTCACTCAGAGCCAAGAACTCTCTGGATCCACTCTCTCTAGATTTTTCCTGCTTCTGATAACTAGAACCTGGCGAATTTGCCTTCTTCTCAGGAAGATTATCCAAGAACTTAGGCGCCTCCACATTCTGGAGGCTTTTGAGAGCCGGGCCACGTAGCATAGATTGTGATAACTTACTTGGTGATTTATCCTTTGTTATAACCATTTTATCAATATTCTGGAATATTTTTGTAGCCATCTCAGTGGACTTGGAAGGGACAAGGTTAAAACTTGAACCAGCAATATTCTCTTTAGATGTATGTGTAATGTTTTGTCCACCATTGGCACGAACAGGAAGTGGGCTTTCTGAGGCAGGCAGAGCCAAGCTTCTAGATGAAAGGTTAGATTTCTGGCGAATCCTCCTTACAGGGCCCACCGATCCTATATCACTATCTAAAACTGAGCTCCTCCGTTTGAGACCCTACAAAATAATTAAAAAGTCATGTCAGTACGTTGTTTTAGAGACCAACCTGTAGTCCGTTTGGTGCAAAGTCCAAAAATCTCACCGATTGATACCCTTGTCTAGAACCAGAAGGTAAGCTATCTTCCCATGTGCTTGGAGAAGCCTGAAAAAGAGACCCAACCTGGAAAAGGAAAAAAAAACTTTAAAATTGGGAGAAAAATTGCAAACTCTATAATACAAAAGTAGAGGCTCAGCACTGAAACCTTCACAGTGGACTGAGGCCTAGAGTAGGGTGTTCTGGCCATGCTATAAACAGCAGATCTTCCCCGAGATCTAGGGGTGGCATAGCCATTTTCCAGAGGTCTTTGTCCAGAAGGCTTCGGCACCAGTGACATTGACGGAAAAGGGGTTCTGTTCAGGAAAACAGAATCTTCCCTAACCGCTTGTCCACGCATCGCCAGCATAGAAGGAGTAACTTCTGAAGGTCTGCTACCCATGTAGGCTTTCGCAAGCTGTGCAGGCGAAGCAATGCACTCATCGTGAGCCTGATGTCATCAACAATCAAAAGATTAAGGAGGCCATCTTGGATAAAGGCAGGCATATCTCATATGTCAACTTTCTTACCCTCGAACTTCCAAGAGGTGTTGAAACATGGGCGTTCATACTTCCATTATCTGGATGCGACCTATCCCTCTCATGTGATGCCGGATGTCTCACGATACTCAGTTCATTTCTCTGATCCCCGTTTACAGTGGACGAATCAGCAGCTTTCGAGCGCAGCAAGGAAGTTAATCGATCAACTTCAGATCTGTAAAACCATCAAACGTGATCAAAGGAACTTCAAAGCAAAAAGTCTCAGTTATTCAAAAAGCAAATATGCTTATACATATTGTAATGAAACGCACCAAAATGAAGATGAGGGAAAAAACATTAGGGACTTGATATCCAGTCTACTATATCATGAATGTTGAATGCATGAAAAAGGTAAAGAAACTTCTATAACCTCCACTGGGTTATATGTACAATGTAAAACTTGTAAGACGATATACCTTGTAAAAGTTTTCTCCTTCAAAATTTTCTCAAGATCTGTAAATCCACCCTTGGTTGGATCGACGGTTGCATTGGTGTCTTCCTTCCGAATCGAATTATTCTTCTTGGACAACTTCACATAGACCACATCAATAGAAAAATCATGGGTTATATACTACAGAAGATGAAAGAACTAGGAAATACAAAGAAAGAAGTTTCAATTAAACGATGTAGCTCATTCACTTACAGCAGAGATGTTCTCCGGGTGTCCTACCTTCGTCTCCTGATTCAAATCTGGTCCATGCAAACAGAAATAGTAGATATTAATTACTTGAATTTAGAAAGGCGAAAAGGAATCTCAAATATCACATCGAGCCCGAAGTACAACCATTCAGAGCGAACAAATTATGATAGCCAGAAGGCTAATTCAATAATATACAAACTGTCTAGGTACTTGAAGAACATTCCAACAACGTCCACGCAATAATCACTTCTGGATTACTAAGGAAAAAACAAAGGACAGATGCAAAACCTAACAATTCCTAGAGAACACTTTCTAAGACTCTAAGAAACTGCGAATGGGACAAAAGAAATAACTTTTGCATCAAAAAAGGTAACATGTCCTTCACCTCTTTGTGGAAGCTGCTGCTGCTTCTCCGGTGACTGTAAGGGCGTCTCGCCTGAGACGAGGCGTTTCTGGAAAACAGACGCGAAGAGCCTATGAGCACTATAAGTAATAAGCCTCTGCGCCGGATCCACCAATTTCGACAACCAGCCGCCGCCTCTGTTTTCCCCTCCCCCAACTCCAGAGTTCCTCACAGAAGTCGGTGGTCGATCATATGGACCTTTCTGAGACTTTCGAGCCGTCGGCTTCCGCAACTTTCCACCGGCTCCCAATCCATCGCCGTAAGGATTGCTGCTCTCTCCCCGTTGCGCACTCGCCATTAGCCAAACGAAAGATGAGACCGAATCTAGGGTTTCAACGAACCTTTTCGCGTAAGGAAAATCAAAAACTTATTGAGAAAAGAAGAATCGAAAATTTGGGGAATTAGGGTTTTTTCTAATTTGTGGCACCGAAATCGAGAGATGAGCAAAAAAACAAAAAAAAAAAATACTTAGGGTAACCACAGATAATTTTTTTTTTTTTCAAAAACGAGAGGAGCGTAAAGCGACGCACCTTCGTCAGGGTATATTCGTCTTTCCAAGAAAGCACAATTAGCGAGAGCGTCGGTCACGTAAGATACCAAAACAGGCGATTTCAAGCCGTAAGATGAAACTCCTCCAATGGTTTAAGATTCAATTTTGACAATACCGCCGTCGCACTAAATTTATCCAAATGAAACGGTGATGCTTAGTAAGTTAGTGGGCTGGGCTTTTAGAGGACAGAACAGGCCCCACAACCACGAAATAGAGATTGTTTTCTTAAAATAATTATTTGAAAAATAATCAAAATTACTCTATTTTTTTCTCCTTGGTGTCGATTTCTTGGGTGTGTGACTGAAATGGTGCGATTATGGTCGATGGCGAAGGTGCAAATCGGGAAAGTTTCGAATTTCTGCTGGGACGTTGGAGTTGGGAGACGAAGACGGTTTACGAGCAGTGTGATGAGCTTCGGTGACGGAAACCATGGTGCTCTGGGGCTCTCAGGCATGGAAATGGGAATGGACGCTTACGAGCCTACTCTCATTTCTGATTTGCCTTCCGATGTCTCCTCCATATCCGCCGGACACTACCATTCCCTTGCCGTTACATCCGGCGGTGAGATTTGGGCTTGGGGTCGCAACGAGGAGGGCCAGCTCGGTCGAATCGCGTCTAGAAACGCAAGGAGTGAGCCCAAGAGAGTGGAAGGTCTAGAGAAGGTGAGTGTCCGGGCAGCATTTGCGTCCGGAGTGATCTCAACGGCGATCGGAGAAGATGGGTCTTTGTGGGTTTGGGGAAGATCGAAAAGAGGTCAGCTTGGTCTTGGAAAAGGTATCATTGAAGCTAAAGTTCCTTCAAGAGTTGAAACTTTAGCTGAAGAACACATCGTTAAGGTCTGGTGTACACTGTGCTTGGATAAATCAACAACACTTGGCTTATAAAAACGCACTCTTTTTTCATTCGATTCGATGTTGACAGGTATCATTAGGTTGGGGGCACGCACTTGCGCTTACTTTGGATGGTAAAGTTTTCGGGTGGGGTTATGTAGCTGATGGGCGAGTAGGCAATGTCGGACTTCCACTTGAACCGTCGCTGCTAGATTCACTTTCAGATGGTTATGGTGATCACCAGAATCTTGAGGAGGCAGCTGAAAAGAAAGTTGCGGAAGCTATGGAAAAGGAGAACGACATGCCTATAGCTTGGGAGCCTCGTCTGGTTGAAGAATTGCGTAACGTGAAGGTAGAAGACATCGCTTGCGGTTCCGATCACTCCTTGGTGCTTTGTGGTGATGGCACGCTTTTGAGCTCTGGGAGCAACGTGTATGGTCAGTTGGGTCGTAGGTCTAAGCAAGAGCTAGGGATGTCACCGGTTGATATAACCGGATCTCCAATAGCTGTAGCAGCTGGTCTTGGTCATTCTCTAGCTATCTGCAAGATCCAGTCAGATTCAAACACTAGGAGGATTGTGTCGTCATGGGGTTGGAACCGGAGTCAGCAGCTTGGTAGGGGGAAACCAGAAGAGCTGCCAAGGGAAGTGGAGGGTTTGGATGGGGAAACTCCAGCTTCAGTATCAGCAGGGCGTGTGCATTCCTTGTGTGTAACGGAGAAAGGAGAAGCTTGGGTTTGGGGTTGTGGAAAGAATGGTAGGCTCGGTTTAGGAAGCTCGATCGATGAGCCTGAACCGATGTTGCTGGAGGACGTTGAAGGTTGTGTTCTTCAAGCAGCTGCTGGGTTTGATCACAGTCTCGTCTTAGTGACTGACTTAGATGTTTGAGTTATATTGACACGAATTGTCTACTTAACAACTTGAAATTGTTGTTGTTTGTCATCATTTTTGTGAAACCTGAAACATAGAAAAATGCAGAGAAATAAATCAAAACCCTGATCACCAAGTGAGTTCTTTTATCATGAATTTGTTTGAGTGGAACAAGATCTTGACAATGTGGTTGAATCTTCGATGCATTTTGGTTACAATAGAGTTCTGCTCTCCTCTCACAGTAGCCACATGTTTGCAGACCAAAAAAACTATTGTGTATATGCATAGAAGTACACAGTACAAAAAAGATTTGCCTAAACCAGTCTAATAACAAAATCTCATCAAAATATTGAGAAAAAACAAATATCTCATCATCATCTTTTATAAATATATCTTCATCTTTGGGTTTGTATATGAAATCTGAAAACTAGTGTTTCAGAGAAATGCTAATGCTCTTCTCTAAGCCAATCTTCATTGGTCCTCCCATGATGCTCCCTTTCTGCATCATCGCCACAAACTCGTTGTAGTCTATTCGCCCGTCCTGTTAACAGTAGTTCGATGTTTTTAAAAGGCTCACACAAGAAGAGGTTCCAATATCATCATCATCACTCCCATTTTAAGGAATTATATAATGGATTTTACGATGGGATGAGGTTTTTTTACCTTGTCTTGATCAACATCGCGCATGATTTCTTCAATGCGGGCATCTTCGACACCAAACTCCTCGCAAGCATGTTGAAGCTCGTCCGGGGTGATATAACCGCTCTCGTCCTTGTCAAAGTAAGAGAAAGCGGCGAACAAATGGTCCTCTCTCTCTATTTTGTTTAGGTGCAATGTCGCGGCTATGAACTCTTTGTAGTCTATTGTTCCGCTATTGTCCACATCAGCCTGATTCAGACGAGACAGAGCATACAAACAGAACACCGGTTGAATGATTGAAGTTTGTAACGTAGAGTAATTTGTTCAGAGTTGAGATAAATCGTTTAGTGTTGTTCTTTTGAGTCAAAAGACTTACAGCTTGCATCAGGTCAAGAATCTCTGACTCTTTGAGATTGGCACCAACTCGTTTTAGTCCTGCTTTCAGTTCTTCGAAAGTGATCTGACCACTGTTGTCGGCGTCAATCATCTTGAACATTTCTTTCAAACCTGCTATTTCTTCTTCGGATAAGCTCTCGGCTATGACCTACAACAAGTTGAAAAAACAGGGAAAAACTTATTCTATCTTCTACGTTTTCTCTGAGATCCCTGGTTGGAATTTAAACAAAGGGAATACTTACTCTAAGAGCCATTTTCTTGAACTTGTTCATGGCAGAAAACTGCTTCATACGGCTCAAAACAGCAGAGTCCAGAGGTTTATCTGGAGCCACACCATCAATTTGAACCCATGGATGACCTGTTCAGAAACAAAACTTGTTGAAAAGCAGAACGATGAAGTCCAAACACGACAAGACAATTGGAAAATCAGCTAGCATATACCAGAGAAGAAAGCGCACCATTAAGGTCTATGCTCACAGAATCAAGATGAATGTTCAGACTTACATAATACTTGATGTGCGGTTAGTCTTCGCTTGGGGTCGCGCACAAGCATTTTCTTCACCAAGTCTTTTGCGCTTTCAGAGATGCTCGGCCACGGATCAGACGAAAAGTCAAGATCTCCATGAAGGACCTGCTCGAAGATACCTTGTTCGGTTTCTGTACATGTCATGGAAACATCACCTTGTTTCAGAGCCTAATATGAACAAGACAGATGCTTTATTCTGAACAAAACCGCTCTTACCGGCCCAGAAAGGAGGAACTCCGCTTAACAAAATGTAAACAATGACACCAGCACTCCATACATCTGACTCAGGACCATAACGCTTTCTAAGAACTTCTGGAGCTACATAATATGGACTACCAACAACATCTGTGAAAACCTCATCTGCAAGATTCGAAAGGCAACTGAATTTCAAAACTCACGCATACATGTTGTAATGATCAAAGACAAACTTAAGTACAGAAGTAAAACCTGGCTTAAAGAACATCGAGAGTCCAAAGTCGATCGTTTTCAAGAGGGAGTCTTCCTCTTTACTAACAAAAAGAAAATTCTCGGGCTTGAGGTCTCGATGCATAACACCAAGAGAGTGACAAGTCTCTAAAACCCCAACAATGGTTCTCGCTAACTCTGCGGCTTTCCTCTCAGTGTAATGCCCACGTTGAATAATCCTGTCGAAAAGCTCTCCACCAGAACACAGCTCCATCACAAGGTGTACCGCCACAACATCCTCATAAGCTCCTTTGATGGATATCACATTCGGATGACCAGCCAAGTGATGCATTATCTGAATCTCTCTCCTCACATCTTCGACGTCCTCGTCCGTCAAAAGCTTCCTCTTGGAAATCGACTTGCACGCGTACTCGTTCCCCGTACCTTTCGCAACGCATAAAAACGTCGTCCCGAACTGCCCTTGTCCGAGTTTCCTCCCCAATGAATAAAACTCTTTGAAGTTTTCAGTTTTCCTCTGCAACACTGACTCAGTCCTAAGCCCTGCACTGGACACTCTCCTCATATGTTTAGGCTTCTTAGGTTCAGGTTTTGTCTCCGGCTTGGATTCACTCTTTGTTTCTGGCTCTGTTGCCTCCGTCTTGGTTTCGCTATTTGTATCTGGTCTTGTTGCTTCCGGCTTTGTTTCTGGTTTTGTTTCCTCCGGCTTGGATTCTTGTTTTGTTTCCTCCGGTTTGGATTCTTGTTTTGTTGTCTCCGGCTGCGTAACAGCGTCCTGCTTGGTTTCTTCAGGTTGGATCACTGCATCGGGTTTCGATTTGGTTTCGGTTTCAGGAATGGTCCTTGGATTTGACATTGTGACTTGCTCTGGGGGTTTGTTCTGGACTTGATCAGGTGATGGCCCTGAAGCTGCTTCACTGGCAGCATCTCCATTACTATGGGAAGAAGCTTGCTCAACTCCGATCCGTGGCCGCCACATTGCAGCCGAAACAGTTTGCAAGAAACCATTTCCAGAAATGTTTGGTCCTACGCAAGCATTACCCATCAAAAATATCTCTCTCTCTCTCTACTTATAATCCTAAATCAACTTCTCTAGAATCGCATTCAAGCTCTCCACATCAAGATCTGATCGAAAGAACACAAATTGGTCTTAATCTGATCTGATCCCATTCCTAATGATCAGAGACACTATAAGTGAAAGTCAAATCCTTCATAATCTAGGACGTAGTTCTTCTTCTCTTCTCCAACGACAATCGGATATCATAAAAATGTTTGATCACTCCAGATCAGGGAATGATTTGGAACACTGAATACAGATGAAGAAGCAAAAACCCTACTCGCGTCGATGCACTAAATGCAAAGAACGAGTCTTTGACGATAACAATCAATAGACAGTCACAAACAAAAATTTCGAATTTTTAGAAGGGTGATGGGAAAATCGAAAATTTCGAACGAGCCCAGAACAGAGAACGATGCGATGAACCGAATCCAGAAAACGGAAATGATCTGGGAAGAAAGAGATCTGGGATGTAAAAGAAAAGAAGAAGTATTTGATTGGGTCGGGAAATAAGCGAGGGAAATAAGAGGGATGGCTTAATGGGCACTACATTTACATAAAACCTCAGGGGCTTGTAATCTTTGTATAGTTTGTTTATTAAGTCAATTGTGGAGAAGATGATGAAGAGGAAGGAGATGATTGAACGAGTTTCAAAAACGCGTTTGGGTAATCACCAGCGAATTTTGCGCTCTCGTTGTCTGAAATTAATTTTTATTTTTTTTCGTCTCCCAGCATCAGCAGGAGATAGAATAATCAAAGTAATTTTGTTTTGTCAAATTTCTCATATAACGTTTCAAACATAATCAGAACAATCTTGAAGTTGAAACCAAACACTTGAACATAATGGGTGGTTATTTAACTGAATTTTATTGTTAGTTACAAAAAAAAGTAGGGACGAACTGTTCACAAAAAGACCAAATACAATAGTTTGTCAAGCAAACCAATGAAGCCAAAAAAAACCTACAGGTCAAAGGATGTTCTGCCTAATTTGATTTTCCAGACATCATCTTCAGCTTCCATTGTCTTTGACCCAATAAACAACACTCTGGTCTCTCCAAGAAGGAAGAGCGGTTTTCTATGAGCTGCGGAAACTAACCGGATATCGCTTTGTAGCCTTCCTTTTCCAGTAATTTGGCCAAGGAGTTGTCTCCGGTTTTAATGATTCTTCCATTCTCCTGAAAGCGAGCAACATACATGAACCATTGATACCAAGAAAAAAAGAATAAGTAAAGAAGGTTGGTTTGGCAACAATACTCACCATGATGTGTATGAGAGTTGGTTTGATGTAGTCAAGCAGGCGTTGATAATGGGTTATCATCAGAACAGAGTTTTTTGGCGTCAAAAGCCCGTTCACCGCCTTTGCCACATCTTGAAGAGCATCAACATCCAACCCTGAATCAATCTCGTCCAGTATAGCCAACTCGGCTCCAAGGACCTGCAATGACAGGGAGATTTTTACCAAATGTTGCATTACTGTTCCATGACCTCTTTCCATGTGTTGTTAAGAAGAAAAAGAGGCTTAATGGCTTGCTGGTTCGATAGATCCTTACTGCTCTACGCAATTTTCCACTGTCACGTTATACAACCAACGTGTACCTGCTTAGGCGAGTCTACTCAAATATCCTAATCATCTGCCCTGAGTTCTTTTCACAATTACGGAACAATCACATTGTTCCAACTACATTCTGTTACCAAAATATGTTTCTTATCATATATGGCGCTTGTGGCAACTGAGAAACAAGGGGAAGTGGAGGAATACCGCTAACTGTAGAATCTCGTTGCGTTTCCTTTCACCACCACTAAATCCTTCATTGACATTTCGGTTCAGAAAATCGGTCTTCATATTCACAACTTCAAGTTTTGATACTAGGTGGCTGTAGAACTGCATGAACCACGTTATATCCGTAAGAGATGTGCACAATTAGACAGTTCGAAAAAAAAAAGGGACCAATTGGCACAGAGGCACAAAACAGCAAGTAAGAAAGAATGCAATGTATTAGTAATTTGGCATGGCACCTGGATTGGATCAAGCTCTGGCTGACCAAGCTTTCTTTTCCGAGCATTGAATGCCATATTCAGGAAATCCATATTGCTAACACCAGGGATCTCAACTGGGGACTGGAAACTCATGAAGAGACCGGCAAGAGATCTTTCCTCTGGTTCCATATCAAGCAGATTCTGCCCTTTAAATACAATACTTCCTCCCGTCACTTCGTAATCAGGATGGCCAACGAGAACCTAGAAATAATAAGGTTCACTGATAAAGCAAATAGGAAGAGAACAATAGCATAGAGGAATCCTGAGATACAATATGTTCTCTTTCTCCTACGATTCGTTTCAACGACTTTAAGATATAACAGATTAAACCATGTTAAGATACGATACAGTCGAAATGCTCACCTTAGAAAATGTGCTCTTCCCTGAACCATTCTTCCCCATCACTGCGTGAATCTACGGTTTTTTTTAGCAACCACGAAACAACAATCTATGAGGATCGACCAAAATTCCACAAAAGAAGACATAATCTACAATCAGCAGAAATGTAACTGATCCACACAAATAAAAAATATTCAAGCTCAAAAACATTGAAATTCAAAGTCAATGTTTCTGTTTGCTTCTGATAAGATTTCAAACTCAAGCTTTCTCAGATGATGAGACAAATCCAATTCGAACTTTTCTGGTGTTTAATTTTCAAATCAATCTGCAAAGTTAAGTTATTGATGCGTACCTCTCCTTCGTATACAACCAAATTGACGCCTTTTAGTATCTCCTGCCTCGATTCAACAATCACAGCTCTCAAATCCTTAACCTCAAGCAAAGGGATCCTGCCCGTGTCATCCCGTTCTTCCACCAACGAATCCGAAGAGGGGGAAGAATCAACGGCCGAGGATACGGAAGACGCAGCAACAGTAACTGAACGGCGAGTGGTTCGCAGGGTTGCCGCGGCGGCGGAAGTAGCTCGGAGATTACAGAAGAGAACACGAGAGGGTGAAATTCCGATCCGGACTCGTTGAGGAGGAGGAGTAGAAGAAACAGTTGGAACGAATTGAGCTATAGAGTAAGCGTGACGGAGCTGTAGGTTTGCGCCGGCCATGGAGACAGAAATCGCGGCGGAGGTTATCCGGTGAGTGATGGAGTATCTCTTGAACGGTGTGGTTAGGTCCAGGTAATCTCATTTCACGTGCTGAATGCCACGTGGTAATTATATAGGCTACAATTATTAAAGAGGAAATTCTTAAACGTCGTCGCTTCGTGTTGATGTGCGTAAGAGCTTTTAGTCCTTCCTTGTAGCACAAGAAAGTAGAAACCTATTATAAAGGATATGAGTCCTCTGGACGAAGAAACAGACAAAGTCAATACCCTAAAGCAATCCTAAACCCAAACCTTAAACTCAAAACCTCCCATTGTAACTGTCTCTTATATACACATGAATATATCCTTCAAACACCTTAAAAATTTTATGTTTCATCACAGTTTGATTAAACAATCTTAAAAAAAAACTCAGTTTCTTGTCCTGAAATAGTGATATATACACACATATGGCGATGTACAAGCGGCCAAGGCCGGGCGGTGGTCGTCACCCGCCACCGTTGGCTCCGACGGTGAGCAATTTCAAGCCGAGAGTACAATGGAGTAACTCTGGATCTTCCATTTTCCTCTATGTCAATCTTCCTGGTCATTTTCTCTCTTCTCTATCTTTTTTTTTTTGTTTTCTTGATTTCAAATTCTCTTTAATTGACTACAACTACAAATGTTATGAATTTCATTTCGTTGATTTTGTGGAATCGACAGGGTTTTACAGGGATCAAATAGAAATAAAGAAAGATGAGAGTACACGGACTATCCAGATTCAAGGCCAGCGACCGCTCTCGACTCTGACCAAGGCTCGTTTCAATGAAGCTTACCGTGTCCATGAGTCGTGTGATATGACAAAAATGAACACCTCCTTCGCACATGGACTCTTGACGATCGAGTTTCCAGTGGTCGAAGAAAGTGCGAAACCGGAAAACGCAGTCGAAGATCAGAGGAAGACGGTACAGAGGCCTAGTCAGGAAGGAAGTAGAGGGTCTGGTCTTAATGAGAGTAGCTTGGGACGAAAGAAATCTTCAGTGGATGAGCGAAAAGTGGGAACAGGTCAAGAGAAAGCTGCTCCAATGGCGAATATAGAAGAACCCAAAACGTATAAATCAGCCGTTGTGGGTAAGAGAGCAGTGCCAGCGGGTAGCAGTCGAGAGAAGTCTGAACAGAGAGTGAAAGAGGGACAAGCAAACCCTAGCTTGGGGAGTAAGGAACGTACGAAAGAAGAGAAGGAGGTTGAGAGAAAGGATGCTGCTCAAATGGGTCAGCAAAAGACTACTGTACAGAAGTTGAAGGACGAGGAGGCTAGAAGTACATCGACCATTGGTGGTAGCTTGAAAGCTAAGGTACTTGCAGAAGAAGAGAAAGTAACTGAGAGAAAAAGAGATGGTGATATAGGCCAGAAAATTACCGGACAAAGGGTGAAGGAGGAAGGAATTATTAGAGCGCCAACGCCAATGCCAACCATTGGTGGTAGCTTGGATCCCAAGGTACATGCTAAAGCAGAGAAACTGGTTGAGAGAAATGGAGATGGTGAAATAGGCCGGAAGCTGAAAGCGAAAGTAAAGATTGGCTTGGAACCAATAAAAGAGGAGAAACACACAAAGCCTGTTGTTGGTGATAAGACCACAAGACCAGACAAGGAAACTGCTGCGACGAACCAAGCAAAGCCTTTGCAAAAAGTGGAAGAGGGAGTTGAAAGAACTACACGGGATGTTAATGGTAACGTGATAAGCAATAAGCATGATAAGAATGATGAGAAGATGGCTGGAGACAAGGTAAGTGAAGGAGAGATTCAAGAGAAAGTAAAACAAAGGAACCTACAAGAAGTCGGTTTAGTCAAAGAAACAGGAGATCTTAACGATAATCCTGAAGTCGCGAAACCTAGTAGGGTAGATTTGGGTGATCCAATTCCAATGAAAGAAGAAACAATCCAGGAAGGTGAAGATAGAGAGAAGCTTGAAAAGAGCCCCGAATCAGAAACCGACATGGATCCTGCTGCACGTGGAGGAAGAGGAATGGATGAAGAACAGAGTCGGAAATACGACATTTCGTTGCTGAATGTTGGAGCAGCTGCTCTTGTGATCATGGGGTTTGGTGCTTACGTCTTCGTACCATTTGTAAAAATGTTCTATTGATTCGGTTAAGAAAGACAAAACAAAATAATTTAGATTCACGGTTAATTCAAGAATAATTTGTTTCCTAACTTTTCAATTTAATATTTTCGAATAAACCACGGAAAATGCGAGGAGATTAGTGTTAATAACCGATTACAATCATGGTCTTCTCTTGTCGTTGTAACATCGGAAAACAAAAATAGGAAGAGAAGAGTTCAAAAGGCACTAGAAAAACTCTGTACGGATTGGATCGGGATGGTTAAAAAATCTACAGGCTAGAGGCTTCTTCAAGACTCGGAATCCCTTCGCCTTCTTCTTCTTCTTCTTCATCTGCTGCAGAGATCAGAGACGCTGATTGAATCTTTCCGGCGTGATCTAGTCGCATAAGAATCACTCCCCTGAGAGATATTCAAACGACAAATAAACAAAATTTAGATAAACACGATTGCCACATGGAAAAACTGCCAAATTGTGGGGGGGAGGGAGGGAATAAACAATACCGTGCGCGGCGTGATTGGATCGAGATGTCCCTGACTTTGATCCGGTTCACTGTTCCGCTTTGGCTCACTAGAACCACCTGTTCGTCGCTTTCTCCATCCTCTGCAAGAAAACACATTGGTGAGACTATAAGAAGAACACGTTTCAGAGCATCTAAAAATCCTCCTTATTTGTTGAAGAGTGTATATTTTACCAGCTAAGGAGTAGCCAACCACGAATACAGCAGCCAAACGATCATCCTCCGCAAACTGAGAGATGGAGATTGAAAGAAGAATGAACAAACCAAGCTAACAAGAGAGAGAGAGAGAGAGAGTAATAATCCAGATCACACCTTCGATCCAATTAAACCAACTCTGTTCAAACGCGAAGGCTTGAAGCTACTCAGAGGAACACGCTTTCCGAAGCCATTCTCACACACGAATAATAGCCATGGACCAGAAGATTGCTTCCCGCTTCTGGTTTTGTATTAACAGAGCAAAGAAGACCATAAAACATCAATTAGTGAGATAAGGACAGTTTGTAAGAGCAAACATTAGCAGATACTGTATGACTTAAGAAACACATACACAGTCGAAGTGCCTTCTGACTTCTCTTCAATATCTTTCCGCAGAGATGCAGGTATGATGTCCATGCTCGCCATCTTATCCTCCCTCCTGAGTCTCATGGCAGTCACTCCCTTCGTATTTCTGCTCAGTGTTCGAACCTAGCAAACAATAGCCATTAGAGTTTGCTCAAGTAACAAACGGTTTACTCAGAAGAAGAATCAAGGATTATTACAACTTACACCATCACATGTACTTAGGACGACCATTCCGTTTTGGGACGCCATGGCCACAAGATCATCGCTTGAGCAACAGCGAACCCATTTCAGTTCATCGCCAGAATTCTGAAGACAAAAAAAAATAATGTTAGAATAACCCATTGTTAATAAGATTGTACCCAAAATTTAACTAGAAACAAAGAAAAAGAACAAACCAATTGAATTGCTATGATTCCAGTTGAGCGTATTCCTGAAAATAACTTCAAAGACACTTTCTTGATGCAGCCATTCACTGTAAGCATCAGGAGATAGCGGTCTTCAGCAAACTCGCTTACAGGAACAATGGAGGTTACTCTTTCACCTTCGGACATGGATAATATCTGCTTCCACAAGGGTACCAAAACATTAGCCATTCATAAAATTGTAATATCTTTCCACGTAGCAGAGGACAAACATAGATACATAGTTACATGAGTTACCTGAACCAACGGTGTGCCAGCTGCATTGCGGGAGCATTCTGGAATTTTATATGCACGGGTTGAGTAAACTATACCCCGATCACTGTATGTAGAACAAGTATAAGTAAAGAAAGTCCAAATCAATATGTACGGCAAAAACAAAGGCGGTTTCTATTCAATATACCTGAAGAAGAGGACGTGGTCATGTGCATGACAAACAAGAAAGTCAGACATTGCATCATCGACCCTCAGTTTCCCAACAGATTTACCAATGGTTCCACGATGCTGAAGATTGAACGTATCAGCCTTCATCCTTTTCACATAACCTTTTTCGCTGACGGCCTAAAATCATCAATAAATCAAAAGTTACAACAACAAACAAAGTTTTTCGACGTCCAGAAACTTTCTAGGTCTAAGTATGCAACATACCATCAGCATCTCTTCATTTGGAATAACATCTATATCGTCCAGATCACCACTGTCAGAATCTTCCAACATTGAACGCCTGGGACTGTAGAATTTGTCCTTTAGCTCTATTGCTTCTTGTTCGATTAACTAAAGAAAATTAAAAAAGAAAGCAAAGGGAAGAAAGTAGTGAGTAACATGGTCTTGAAGTAAACGAAGCAAAGAGCTATATTTTCTTCTACAACACAATCATCATGCATCTGCTTTTAATAAAACAATTATCTATACATATACAGTATAGTAAGTGACTTTACATATGTAAGGCAATAAGAACAATGATTGTTTATTGACAAAGCTGAGGGTCCCATTTAGCAAGTAGTAAACGGAAGATGCATTAGAATGTTTGTTACCTTTAAAATGTTTGTTCTGCTAGACAGTAGCTGGTCCAACTTTGTAATTTGCTCCGTCAGTGAACTACTCTCATCAGTAAACTTTTTCCGCTGCAAAGATGTGAAAGAAGAATCTAGTTAGAATATTTTCAAAATTTCAAGTTTAAGTTTCAAGAATGACTCCGAGAAAACTAACGAGGGTAAAAAGGCACCTCAAGAGCAGTTAGTCTTCGAAGACTTATCTCCAATATAGCATCAGCTTGTTTCTCAGAAAGCCCATATTCTGTATAAATAAATTTGACTATGTTAAATCCCTTTGAAATCTTTGCAAGCAACAACAAATCTTACCCAAATGAGACTTGATTAAACACTTCGAGATAACAAGACGAGAAACATACTACTGTATGTTGTTCATATCTAATGTATTCTTTTGAAATGTGGATCCTAGACTGTCCATCAGTCCATTTAAGAAAATGGTTCTAATGTCCGAATTTTGTTTACTCATCAACCTCTAATGTGTAAACACATGTCGTTTCAGAATTCCCAATATAAATTGTTAAGTGAAATACAGCTCACCACTTTGCAAAGCAGTAGCAGCAGAAGAATGACTTGAGGCTTTTTTGATGAGTTGGATAACATCATCCATATTGTCAAGTCCAACCACAATACCCTACAGTGTAGCAATTAGAAGGAAACGTTTAGGTAAATAGAGTTTTACATAGTGAGATCGTAGTCTTCGTGCGTCAAAATCAGATAGTAAACTTCGAGATTGTATATAGTGACGATACATAGAATACTTAAGAAAACTAAACATTTAAAAACACACCTCAATAATGTGCTTTCTTTGTTGTGCATGTGAAAGCTTGAACTTTGCGCGCCTTTCGACAACAGAGCATCTGAAATCTATAAATGCCTACACACAAGCAAGAGAAACAGAAAGTAAACAGAAAATATTCATTCTTATGTGATAGTAGTAGTAGCACAGAACTAAACATCCTATCTCTGATGTCCACTTTTATAGAACTCCTTGTGGTCTATGTTCTTGGACATAAGCTTTATCCAAGAAAGTATATTTCATTAAACAGATAAATTTTCAGTCTAATTTTATATAGGTCAGGAAACTTAAAAAGACAAATGATTTACATGGGCAAGTATTTACCTGAAGTAATTCTTTTAAGCCCATTAGCTTGGGTTCTCCATCACAGATACTGTAAAACACGTAATATTAAAAGCCAGTTACGATCAAGAAATACAACATACTAAAAACCATGATCGCTAAAATATCTACAAGCTTTCCATACTCATTTGAGATTTTGGGTGAGTCAACCTGTGAAAGCCCCAAGTTTCAATTATATGCTGATTCTATCAAGAACTGCAGGATTCTCTATGCAGCAAAGACAAGATAAACGAAATGCAATCTTTATACAGAAACTGCAAAGAGTTTCTCTAGATAACAAATGTGGATCTTATTTTCTTTTTGTTTCTACCACAATTATGGGTCTTGGGTTGAATAAAACAACAAGCAATAACAAATGATACTTCAAAGCAACTCACCCAACCATGTTGCAGCTGAAGCTTGATTGGAGGGCAGTATGCCGGTAAAGGTTGTTTAGCACAAGTGCAGGATCTCCTCCTCGTTTGAGCTATGAGAAATATTTAAAAATTATCTCCTATGGAATTTTATAGCAGACATTACAGAAGTGCAGAGAAAACAGTGTAATACCTCAATAACCACACGCATCCCATTACGATCACTCTCGTCACGTATGTCACTGATCCCCTCTAGTGTCTGAAATTAACAAACATCTAACGTCAATGACTGAAAAAGAAACTTCGCAAACATCAAGCCTAATTTATCTTGATAGATCAACATCAGTTTTATTAATCATAAAAGTGAACCAGAGGGAGTGCTAGCATTAGATGCGATGAGGTTAGTTGCCCTTCATCTTCATTCATAATAGGTCTCATTAACATATTCACAGACATCACTGAGTACCTTGTTTTCCACAAGCTCGGCAATCTTCTGAACAAGCGTAGCTTTGTTTGTTTGGTAAGGAATCTGCAATAAATATCACTAAAGAGGTTACTGTACCTGTTTTTTTACCGTAATGATACTGATGCAAACCACTAATCTGAAAAACTAAGTCGATCACCTCTGTGATGATAATTGCATTGCGCTTTGTTTTTGGATCGAGCAGTTCAACTTCAGCTTTTCCTCTAACTACAACACGGCCTCGGCCAGTTCGGTAAGCATCTAAAACCCTGAAAGTTCATCCACACAATAGAGAACTATAAGGTAACAACATTAACAGCAGGAAATGGCATAGGCATGCGACCTTCTTTGTGATAAACATATCCAACAAACTCGAAATCAACATTTCTGTGTAAATGTATTACATAGCACGTCAACTTTTACAATATCATCAAAAATACACGATTGATTCTAAACTGCATAAGACATACAAACAAAGAAACCTATTCCATATCCATTATTGATTTCTTAATGGCTTGTAAGTCCTTCTAGATCCTATAGAGAGCATAGCATGCTCATAAAATTATATATGGAACTGGAAAGCAAAGACTTACCCAAGGTTTCCCATTATTATTCCTCCAGTTGGAAAGTCAGGTGCAGGCATGTATTCCAGCAGTTCTTGCAGCTGAAAGGACAGCGAAGAAAGTGGAAACAACATCATATGAGTTTTAGAGAAAAGACCCCACGATATTGACAATCACACTTAAAGCAAAGAGGAGAAGAGAGGCTTTGATACCGATGCTTCTGGATTATGGATTAAAGCACAAAGCACATCTACCAACTCTCCAAGGTTGTGAGGAGGAATATTTGTTGCCATGCCAACCTAAACAGCGTGAGATGATCTAAACTCAGTTGCATATATAATCTGACACAGCTGGGAAAGCCGTTCACGATATTGATCGAAAAGTCAAAATTAATGGTTGTCAGACTATTTTACCGCAATCCCAGAAGCTCCATTCAACAACAAAGCAGGAAGACGAGCAGGAAACACTGCTGGTTCTTTTTGTGAGTTATCAAAGTTGGGCACAAAATCAACCTGCAAAAGATTAGAAACCAAAGAGGCTAAGAGACAATTTAGTGAAGTATTAGTAAACTCGGCAACAACAAGTGCAGCCATGTTATTACCGTATCTTGGTCAAGATCAGCTAATAATACAGCCTCTGCAAGTGGCTGTAGAGAAAACAAGGAAACAATCAGCTGAGGACACTTAACAAAAATACATGACCATTTCAAGAAAAGAGAAACACCGGAGATAGACAAGAACAAAATAACTCAACCAATTGAAAAAGTGAAATGCAGGGAGACACATATCAATTTTGAAGGAAGAACACACTCACGTCGAGTCTGCATTCTGTGTAACGCATTGCAGCAGCAGGATCTGCATCTATCGAGCCAAAATTCCCGTGGCCTTGGATGAGCGGACATCTCAAGGAGAAACTCTGCAAAGAAGAGATGCAAAAACGAATGTCTTAAGCGAAACAGTAAGAAACTTTGGGAAGAAACAAAGTGCGCCTGAAAACAGATACATTATTTAAAGACATTCCATGGATTCAGATATTCATAGTGGCTTATTTACCTGAGCCATTCGAACAAGAGCATCATAAACCGCCGTATCTCCATGCGGGTGAAATTTACCAAGAACCTGAAATTAAGGAATTCGGCAGCACAAAGGGATACTGAGAGCAAGAACACCAGAAACGCATTTGAAGGGAGAGAAGAACATTTGGAAGAGAAAAATCACTAAACCTCTCCAACAACTCTTGCGCATTTCTTGTATGGTTTTTTGGACGACATCCCCAATTCATGCATGGCGAAGCTGAAGTAACAACAATCGAATCTTAGAACCAAAATTTTTTTTTACCAAATTAAATTAAATTACAGTAGAGTTAGCCGAACACTTAACAGGATTCTCCGATGGACTGGCTTCAGACCGTCTCTGACATCTGGCAAAGCGCGGCCAAGCAAGACAGAGAGCGCATACGACATGTAAGACTCGGTAGCCTCCTTGTGAAGCTCAAAGGGCACGATACGGGAACCACCGTTGTTATCGTCACCGGAAACCACCAAACCGCCATTGTTGGTCCCGGAATCAACACCGACGGCCTTGACGGGGCGGGGAGTACGGGACGAGAAGAACCGCGCGCCGGAGGGTTCAGAGCGGCGGAGACGGCATAGTGGGTCGGAAAAGGGAAATCGAAAGTGGCGAGACTGGCCGAGGGAGCGACGGAGGAGGGAGGAAGAGAGGCGGAGGGTGGAGGAGAGAGACATGAGAGAGTTCGGGTTAGGGATTGATGCAGTGGAGTGGCAAAATGGAGTCATGCCCAGAGGGTTTTAGAAGAATAATGGATTAACGCTAAAACCCTAGCGACACCGGAGGATTTCCCAGGCGCCAATTTCAAGACTTTAACGAGGCTTTGTATCCAAACAAAAAACAAAATCTATCTCTCAATTTTGTCATACTAAATTTTATTTTTTATACCAACGTGATTCTATATTTTATTGTAAGAACATATACAGTATGTTTATCTTTTTTGTCGTTTGTAAAAACATAATTAAATATCTCAGTTGTCTTGAGTTATTTCTAATTTCACAAACTATAACAAAATTGTGTCTTTTTTGTTTGATTAATTTATTTCACAAATATAGTTGGAAACACGTATACTGAGAGTGCAAGCCTTGGTTTAATTCAGTCGTCCCTATTAATTGGAAAACATGCTACCAATAAAAAAAAAGGATTTACATTATGTATTGTAAAAGTAAGGGATCAGAGAACGCGAGCATCATGATGTATAAGAGACATGTATCATGATGAATCGATGATGTATAAAAGTTTCTCACAGAGAATCAAAAAAAAAAAAAAAGAGAGATAAACAAAGAAAGATAAGCATGAGAGCATGAGAGGAACAAAAAACTGGGTGTGGTTAGGATCAGAGAACGCGAGCAGAATCACCAGCTTCACAGATGAGAACAGGTTTTGCGCAACTCAGTTTCTTGGCAAATTCAGGTTGGGCCTTTTCATATTCACCCTTCACATATGAAGCAGCTTCCTCTGCCTTTTCTGCATCTACAAAGGCGACACAACATCCCCTGAAACCCGCACCACTGAACCGAGCTCCATATACACCAGGTGCCTTCAGAAGTATCTTGTATAGCTGAATCAGTGGCTCCGCACCTTCACCAAACCCTCACACAATTAATGGTGACTCTAAGAGAGAGAGTGAGTAATGTGTTGTATGTTGGAGAGAAGGAAGGAAAGAGAGTATACCGCATTCGTAATTCTCGATAGAACTCAATCCCGACGCTGATATGAGCTTTCCAAATTCTTCAAGATTGCCTGAAGCCCAGGCTTTTAGTCCTGAAATTTAAAAGATTCACAAACATTCATACAGGTCCGTAAAGCATCTTAAAGAGAGCTTCATGAATCATTCATGCACATAACAAGGCTTCTATAAGAATTCAAGAGCATTTGCCTTTGATAACCCGCATGTTTTCCGAGAAATAATGCTCTGCTCTTCTAGCTAAAACCGGTTTCAGCTCATGCTGCACAAGCAAGTATGATTGTATTACATATATTTTTTAGGCCTCATATAGATGGAGCATGATTTACCACAAGCTTAAGAATATTGTTTTCTTACCTTGTGAGCTTCGTAGATTGCATGCTCAACTATTCAGTCCGACAGTAGAGAAAGGTCAACAGAGAAAAACCCAATTAGTATGCAACGAACTAGAGGTGTGTAAAGACCAAACACAAAAGAAACTATTAATATTTTACCATTGCACAGGGTAGGTTCCAGCTTGCTGTTCCCAGATGCACTGAAGAGAAAAGAGAGGGTTGTGATGCAAAGAAATGACTATCACAAGCAATAGAGCAATAGAATTCACAGCATTTCCACTGAAAGTTGGATATACAAAAGGCGGATATGCAGATAAGTGTGAGTTAAGTAGGTTTGCACATACGTCAAAAGAACTTTCGCAGCCTCTTGACACTCAGCAACTCGCAGATTATATCCTGGGTTGGTGGTCAATGCCTGCTTCAAGCCTGAGAATGCTAACAGTATCCTGAACGGTTTCTCTAGTTCGGGACCCTGTACGAGCTTGTGGTCCATAGTCTGCATATTTCAAACCGTTCTTCTGAGAATAGCAGTTTCCGGAATAAAATAAGGATAGGCAAGCAACACTCATGTCTCTCAGGAAAGCATTGAGAGCGTTGTAGATCTTATTTGAACAATGAGTCAGATTGTCAGTTTAACAAACAAAGAATATCTTAGGCATCCCATGTGAACTCAAACTGACTCTATATAACAGTCTTGGTTTTAATAACATGAGCAAACTTTTTGCTTTTTTGCACACTATATCACCAACAAATCAAGGAAATATTACCTTGCAATCCATGTATGTTAGACACCCATAACTCGAAAGCAAAATAGCTGATTGATCCAATATTCCATTCCGCAGTCCCAGATACCCATTCTCAATAAGTCTGCAGATCCAATCAATCACATGTAAACCCACCAGTTTGCACACTAATTGCTGATTTTACAGAGAGGCAACTGCTTATGAAACAATCAAGACGACCTTTTTAGTTACATTAAAGGGAAAATTGTATCTACCTGTCATATTCAATATTTTCTGTTGGGGATACACTCAATTCGTTTGCATTCTCTAAAGCTAGCAGGTATGCCACACCAACCTGTCACATTTCTGGCGATCATAAAATAATTTACAAGATTCATTTTCCAAAAATGAGAACTAAACACCATTCCTCACATGCTAAAAAAATGTTTAGGTATTAGTAAAGAATAGGAAAATTTGTCATTCCGGAGAAACTCCTGCTGTATGAAAGCTAGTGGTTTTAGTTACTTACAGCAGCTGATGAGCTAAGCCCAGAACTATCTAGTCCATCCGAGCCGCTGATGTAACCAACAATGCCCTTCAAAAATCAAAACAGTTACTTAGAAACACATTCAAAGACCTTTTACTTTTGATACAGTTATGTCAACTATTATAGGGGAAAGTAAGGTCTAAAAGACAAGGTATGGCAACTAAAAAAGGGGTAAATGCGGAAACCAGAAACTCACACTGCAAATGTGCAGGCTAAATCTCATTTCTCTTTAGTAGTCATACTGTGTATAGATTTAAACCCATTACCTGTTTGAGATTCTTTTTGCTGATCTGTAACGCATAGAGCGCTCCTCTAGCATAAGTGCCCCAGATGCTTTTTTCCTTCGATTCACCATTCTTGTTATTTCCTATTGGGTGCTGGATTTCATCTACTCTATAATTTCGAAACACAAAAAGCTATAAGCATTATGCATGGAAGATCTTTAATTCCTTTACCAGCACTAAATAAAACAATATCCAAGATGCAAACTAAACCCAATATGTCCCTTAGTAACCAGCTTAAGCATGTCTGAGGCTGGTCTTATAACTTTGAAAACAATAATGAAAAGATGTAAAGATTCTGAAAGACATACACACCTGAAACATACTTCTCCTTCAAATTGTGCAGAACGCAACTGGACCTGCATAAATATAGAAAGATGATAAATGGTACAAACACTTCAAGGCCCCAATCAAATACACAGATACAGGGAAATTTCCCCAACTCAGAACTATATCTTAGTCTTCCTGTCTATATATATACCACATTCATTTTTGACATTTTCCAATTCATTAAACTATCTCAGTCAATAGACAAAGAGAGACCGGAACCATATTCTACATTATTAAAATCTCCATCTACTCTCAAAACTGAACCAAGCCCAGATTACTGAATGTTATGTGAAAGAATCGCATTATACCATCAACGGAGCGTTTATCCAAACAAGTGGAACATACGAATTTGAAAGAAAAATTCACTTACAATAAATGTGGAGGAATACAAAACCATATAAGAATCATGATAAGCAACTCTTACAAACCTGAGTACTGCCCGATGGAACAAAACCAAGAAGGATCCCTTTGTTAATCGTCATAGCTGATACAGCTCCACCCTGTGAATACCAAAGATGATATGAATTTACAAGGAAATGGTGTAAATCGGAGAACTCTATAGCTTGATCATAACCATGATTACATCGTTACCATCACAAACCAACCTGGTGATCAATGTGAGCTCCCATAGGACATATACGATAAGGTGCGACCACCACACGAACTTCCCCTGTATCTCTTCCAGTCATCTTGGCCACTGCCTCCTTTATGGCATTTAACTGGAAAATGAACGATCTCTGAAGATTAAGACAACGCAAAACAATCAAAAGTATTCGAACACACAAGAAAAAACAAAGAATGCTCGCGGCAATCTTATACATTCAGCTCCAAATGCAAACTAATGGAATTGAACGAAGACAAGTCCGATTTACATTCCGCCGAGAAAATGTACCCAGAGGATACATCTCTTTCGCTCTTTTCTTGCGACAATTAGCACAACGGGGGAAATTGGAGCCGAGGTAACCAAAATTCGAGGACGACATAACATGCAGGTTTGCGCGAAAATGGAAAAAGAAAGATTAACCTCAGAGTCCGTAGGCCAAGACATTGTCGCGAAGCTTTTGGCAGATGACGATCTATGGAATCGTACGAGTTCTGGGCTGGAGACTGAGAAGGATAAGCGGGTAGAGGAAGTGCGAGATGTGGGAGTGAGCGTCGAAACTCGAAAGAGGAAGATGACCAAATAGGCCGGTGTTTGGTAACACATCTATTTCTATCCTTTTGGCAGTGTTTGGTGAACCTTTTTATTTTTACTTCGTTCAAAAGCTTTGATTTGTATGATAAATTTATCATATATGCTAATTTCTTCATCCGTATATACATGTAATCACTATACATTGCTAAAGACATTTTTAGTATCCATTGGTTTAATTACTTAATCCAGTTTCCAGTTTACTGCCATGAAGGAGGCAGTGGCCAAGATAGACTAATTACTTAATCCAATTTCCAGTTAACTGCCAAAAAGAAATTGGTTTAATTACTTAATCCATAGCCTAAATCGTTGAACGCCATGAAACATGGTTTATTCACACCCTATAAATCATTGAACGTCATGAATGAGGATTGTAAATTCTTATGTCAGATAACTTTCGATTTCTTTTATGAAAAGTATTCTTTGACAGCTTCATATCAACCATATTTAATCATCCAAAGTTGACAATATAATCCCAATAAATATTGTAATGTTGATTTGTAGGACGTCGGTGAGATTCTATTAAAGACAAATTATACTCCCTCCGTTCCTAAATCTATGATGTTTTAGTTTTTTTCTTTGTTCCACAAAATATGATGTTTTAGAGTATTAAATGTATCTTTTTGTAGATTTCAAAAAAAGTAACTGAAATTATTTATATTCTTAAATTGTTATTGGTTAACAGTTATTAAAAAGTAATCATTGTTAAAAAGGTAATGCATTGATGACTAAACCATAATTGTTTCTTAATTTGTGTGAACATGTCAAAACATCATACTTTTTGGAACAGAAGGAGTATTAATTTATCAAGTATTTTTGATAGACAGGCGTAACAATTCTAATTCTAAATTCGACGATGTAAATTACAAGTTACAGCATATAGAATCAAAATTGACGCATAGGAAAAAAATAACCACACTGTAGATAATACAAAAGAGTAATCAACAACTGAAACAAAAGTATAAAGCAGAAGATGAATTTCTAAATTTCGTAAATTAAAGATACATGAACCACGTTGAAAATAAAACAAGTAGCTAAACCTAAACCGTGTTAATCAATACAACAAAAACACAAGTGTCTCTCCTGGTGATGACACCTCAGCATTTTGGAGTTTTCTGAAGATGACACTTCAGCAAAAAAATTTACCAATCAAAACATTTTATTAATACAACTCATCAATTTATTTTAATTTTTAATCTTAAACCCATTAAAAACCTAAATATTTTTTATTGTTAATTTTAGTTTTATTTTTTGACCAAACCCAAACCCAAATAATCAATAACAGAAAAAGTTTTGTTTTATTTCTTTCCAAACCCAAACACAAATAATAAATAATAACAAAAAATTATTTTATTTTTTGCCAAACCCAAACAATAGATAATAGAAAAAATTAAAAAATTATAATGTCTAGCTACATGTTTGCTTGACAAAGACATGTATAATTGAAAAAATGTAAGCCAAGCATAAACTATGTTTCCATGACAATAAAGCAAACAAACCGTCTGTTATAAGAAGCTCACAAACAGTATGTTTTAAGTTGACAAATAATACAATTTCTTGGTTTTCGTGGGGAAATATGATTTCTTAGTTTTCGCGAAAAAATACAATTTGACAATTTTGGCATAAAATGCAATTTCTCGGTTTGAAGAGAAAATGAAATTTCTCGGTTTGAAGGGAAAATGAAATTTCTCGGTTTTGGTGGGAATTAGCAATTTTTCAGTTTTTATGGAAAATGCAAATATTCATTTTTTGACGGATAATGCAATTTTTTATTTTTTGTGAGAAAATATGATTTCATAGTTTTCGCGAGAAAACGTAATTTCTCGTGAGATAATGCAATTTTTCGGTTTTGAGGGAAAATGTAATTTTTCGGTTTTTGTGGGAAAATATGAATTTTGGTTTGATGAGGAAACGAATTTCTTGGTTTTGGCTTGAATATGCGATCTCTTGGTTTTTGTGGGAAAATAATTTTTTTGGTAATATATTTTAGTTTTTGCAAGAAGAAGAAATATTTTGGTTTTGGTGAGAGAACATGATTTCTCGGGTTTAGCGGAAAACACTGGTTCTCGCGGGAAAATGTGATTTCTTGGTTTTTGCTGGAAAATGCAATTTTTTGGTTTGGTGGGAAGATGAAATTTTTGGTTTGACGAGAAAATAAAATTTCTTGGTTTTGGCGGGAGTAAGCAATTTCTCCATTTTCTTAGGAAAACGATTTTTTTTTGTTTTAACGGAAAATGCGATATTTCAGTTTTTGTAAAAAAATAAAACTTTTTGGTGGTAAAATTTGAATTTACCATATGTTTACAGTAACCAAAATTAAATTAATTAACTTTTGCTAAATTGATATTTCAATAGTTCAAACATATTTTTTATATAGTTTTAAAGCAATAGTAATTATTTTGATATGAATGTTATTAATTATAGTTTGGTAGGTTTAGAAACATATGTTTATAATATATATTTGATAAATAAATAAATTTTATAATTCAACAATACAACAAAAACACAAGTGTCTCTCCTGGTGATGACACCTCGGCATTATGGAGCTTTCTGAAGATGACACTTCAGCAAAAAAATTTACCAATCAAAACATTTTATTAATACAGCACATCTATTTCTTTTAATTTTTAATCTTAAACCCATTAAAAACCTAAATATTTTTATTGTTAATTTTAGTTTTATTTTTTGACCAAACCCAAGCCCAAATAATCAATAACAGAAAAAAATTTGTTTTATGTCTTTCCAAACCCAAATACAAATAATAAATAATAACAAAAAATTATTTTATTTTTTGCCAAACCCAAACAATAAATAATAGAAAAAATTAAAAAATTATAATGTCTAGCTACATGTTTGCTTGACAACGACATGTATAATTGAAAAAAAGTAAGCCAAGCATAAAATATGTTTCCATGACAATAATGCAAACAAATCGTCTGTTATAAGAATCTCACAAACAGTATGTTTTAAGTTGATAAATAATACAATTTCTTGGTTTTCGTGGTGAAATATGATTTCTTAGTTTTTGCGAAAAAATACAATTTGACTATTTTGGCAAAAAATGCAATTTCTTGGTTTGAAGGGAAAATCAAATTTCTCGGTTTGAAGAGAAAATGAAATTTCTCGGTTTTGGTGGGAATTAGCAATTTTTCAGTTTTTATGGAAAATGCAAATATTCATTTTTTGACGGATAATGCAATTTTTTTTTGTGGAAAAATATGATTTCATAGTTTTCGCGGGAAAGCGCAATTTTTCGTGAGATAATGCAATTTTCGGTTTTCACGGGAAAATATAATTTCTCGGTTTTTGTGGAAAAATGTGAATTTTGGTTTGATAAGGAAACGAAATTTCTTGGTTTTGGCTTAAATATGCGATCTCTTGGTTTTTGTGGGAAAATAATTTTTTTGGTAATATATTTTGGTTTTTGCAAGAAGAAAAAATATTTTGGTTTTGGTGAGAAAACGTGATTTCTCGGGTTTGGCGGAAAACACTGGTTCTTGCGGGAAAATGTGATTTCTTGGTTTTTGCTGGAAAATGCAATTTCTTGGTTTGGTGGGAAGATGAAATTTTTGGTTTGACGAGAAAATACAATTTCTTGGTTTTGGCGGGAGTAAGCAATTTCTCCGTTTTCTTAAGAAAATGATTTTTTTTTGTTTTAACGGAAAATGCAATATTTCAGTTTTTGTAAGAAAATAAAACTTTTTAGTGGTAAAATTTGAATTTACCATATGTTTACAGTAACCAAAATTAAATTAATTAACTTTTGTTAAATTGATATTTCAATAGTTCAAACATATTTTTTATATAGTTTTAAAGCAATAGTAATTATTTTGATATGAATGTTATTAATTATAGTTTGGTAGGTTTAGAAACATATGTTTATAATATATATTTGATAAATAAATATATTTTATAATTCCACAATACAACAAAAACACAAGTGTCTCTCCTGGTGATGACACCTCAGCATTTTGGAGCTTTCTGAAGATGACACTTCAGCAAAAACATTTATCAATCAAAACATTTTATTAATACAACTCATCTATTTCTTTTAGTTTTTAATCTTAAACCCATTAAAAACCCTAAATATTTTTTATTGTTAATTTTAGTTTTATTTTTTGACCAACCTTAAACCCAAATAATCAATAACATAAAAAAACTTGTTTTATTTATTTCCAAACCCAAACACAAATAATAAATAATAACAAAAAATTATTTTATTTTTTGCCAAACCCAAACAATAAATAATAGAAAAAATTAAAAAATTTAAATGTCTAGCTACATGTTTGCTTGACAAAGACATGTATAATTGAAAAAATGTAAGCCAAGCATAAACTATGTTTTCATGACAATAAAGCAAACAAACCGTCTGTTATAAGAAGCTCACAAACAGTATGTTTTAAGTTGACAAATAATACAATTTCTTGGTTTTCGTTGGGAAATATGATTTCTTAGTTTTTGCGAAAAAATACAATTTGACAATTTTGGCAGAAAATGCAATTTCTCGGTTTGAAGGGAAAATGAAATTTCTCGGGTTGAAGGAAAAATGAAATTTCACGGTTTTGGTGGGAATTAGCAATTTTCAGTTTTTCTGGAAAAAAAAAATATTCATTTTAGAGGGATAATGCAATTTTTTATTTTTTTGTGGAAAAATATAATTTTATAGTTTTTGCGGGAAAACGCAATTTCTTGTGAGATAATGCAATTTTCGGTTTTCACGAGAAAATGTAATTTCTCGGTTTTTGTGGGAAAATGTGAATTTTGGTTTGATGAGGAAACGAAATTTCTTGGTTTTGGCTTGAATATGCGATCTCTTGGTTTTTGTGGGAAAATAATTTTTTTGGTAATATATTTTGGTTTTTGCAAGAAGAAGAAATATTTTGGTTTTGGTGAGAGAACATGATTTCTCGGGTTTGGCGGAAAACACTGGTTCTTGCGGGAAAATGTGATTTCTTGGTTTTTGCTGGAAAATACAATTTTTTGGTTTGGTGGAAAGATGAAATTTTTGGTTTGACGAGAAAATAAAATTTCTTGGTTTTGGCGGGAGTAAGCAATTTCTCCGTTTTCTTAGGAAAATGATTTTTTTGTTTTAACGGAAAATACGATATTTCAGTTTTTGTAAAAAAATAAAATTTTTTGGTGGTAAAATTTTAATTTACCATATGTTTACAGTAACCAAAATTAAATTAATTAACTTTTGCTAAATTGATATTTCAATAGTTCAAACATATTTTTTATATAGTTTTAAAGCAATAGTAATTATTTTGATATGAATGTTATTAATTATAGTTTGATAGGTTTAGAAACATATGTTTATAATATATATTTGATAAATAAATAAATTTTATAATTCAAAATAATCATATTAATTAATAAATCTTTTTTTAAAGTGACATTTTATTTTTTATAATTATAAAGGAAGACCGAGTGCCAATTTAGAGAAAAAATAGATTATTTTTACATATACATTTTTTGTTAGTTAGTTAAACAAATTTGATAGTAAATTACAATTTTGAAAAAAAAAATTAAGAATATACAATGTTTATTTAGATTCAAGGTAATAAAATAAATAAATATATTTATTTATATTACAAAAATATTTTTATTATATTAAAAATATATATAAAATTTAGAAAAATATACGCTGCGTTATTACCTAGTACTAATTAATAAAACAACAGTAGTTGCGACATTCGAAACAACAAATAATCAAATTACGTTTCACCGACATATATGCCTATAAAGTTATATTACATGAAAGAATAAAAACATGAGAAGCACTTATAGTTATATACATTCTTGATAATTTAAATTTTCTAATCCCCTTGGTGCCTCGCACGTATGTTGTTAGTGTATTTATAAGGACTTTCCACATTCAAAACCTAACCAACGAGAAACTTCAAAAGAAAGAAAAAAGAAAAAAAAGTACGGAGGAAACAGCTAAAATGTCCTCCTACGGCAAAGTCGACGAGCGTGAGCAAGTAATGCTCGAAGCTCGTCGTAAGTCGAGAAAGAGAATCGCAATCATCGTGGTTTCTCTAGTCGTTCTCGCCGGAATCGTGACCGGAGCCGTGTTCGGAACCATGTCTTCCAAGAAGTCAACGACGGTGGAGACTAACGTTAACGAAGACTCAATCTCCGTTTCCGTTAAATCCGTTTGCGACGTTACACTACACAAAGACAAATGTTTCGAAACCGTCGGATCAGCTCCAAACGCAAGCAGCCTCAATCCAGAACAACTCTTCAGATACGCAGTCAAAATCACAATCGATGAGGTCTTAAAATCTCTCAACGCATTCTCTTCAACCGCCGACGACAACCCGGCCATGAATGCTTGCGTCGAGCTTCTTGACCTGACGATAGATAACCTCAACAACACGCTAACGTCGTCTTCAAACGGTGACGTCACGGTACCTGAGCTAGTCGATGACCTCCGCACGTGGCTGAGCTCAGCCGAGACGTACCAAGAGACTTGCGAGGAGACGTTGGCTGAATCCAACGATCCAGAACTGAAGACGTTGGGAGCAAACCAGCTCAAGAACGCAACGGAGATGACGAGTAACGCCTTAGCGATCATCACATGGCTCGGGAAGATCGCTGACTCCTTTAAACTCCGGAGGCGTCTGCTTACTGCTGACGTGGCGGTGGACTTCCACGGAGGTAGGAGGTTGTTGCAGAGTACGGATTTGAGGAAAGTGGCGAACATTGTTGTGGCGAAGGATGGCTCGGGGAAATATAGAACGATAAGTAGAGCTTTAAAGGATGTGCCTGAGAAGAGTGAGAAGAGAACCATTATATATGTGAAGAAAGGAGTTTATTTTGAGAATGTGAAAGTGGAGAAGAATATGTGGAATGTTGTTGTGGTTGGAGATGGAGAGAGCAAGAGCATTGTCTCCGGTAGACTCAACGTCGTCGATGGAACTCCCACTTTTCAGACCGCCACGTTCGGTAAATCTCTGTCTTTTCTTTTTCTCAATCATTACTTGTGGCCCAAGAAGCCGTTTTGACTTGGCTCTGTTTTTCCGCAGCTGTATTCGGAAAAGGGTTTATGGCAAGAGACATGGGCTTCATCAACACAGCCGGTCCATCCAAACACCAAGCCGTGGCTCTAATGGTGAGCGCCGATCTCGCTGCCTTTTACCGTTGCACAATGAACGCATTCCAAGACACGCTTTATGTGCACGCGCAACGCCAGTTCTACAGCAGCTGCACCATCATCGGAACCGTAGATTTCATCTTCGGCAACTCAGCTTCTGTTCTCCAGAACTGCAAGATTCTCCCTCGCCGACCAATGAAAGGACAGAAGAACACAATCACGGCTCAGGGACGGAAAGATCCGAACCAGAACACTGGAATCTCGATTCACCGTTGCAACATCTCTCCGCTCGGTGACCTAACCGACGTTCAGACGTTTTTAGGTCGGCCGTGGAAAAACTTCTCGACGACTGTGATAATGGATTCATTTTTGCACGGGTTTATTGACCGGAAAGGTTGGTTGCCTTGGACCGGAGACTCGGCACCGGAGACGATATTTTACGGTGAGTATAAGAATTCCGGCACTGGTGCGTCGACGAAGAATAGGGTTAAGTGGAAGGGACTGAGGTTTCTGAGTACGAAGGAAGCGAATAGGTTTACGGTTAAACCGTTCATCGACGGAGGAAGATGGCTTCCGGCGACGAAAGTGCCATTCAGGTCCGGTCTCTGAGTTTGTTTTCCGGTAACGAGATTTCCAATTCAAATCTCATATAGTTTTGGATATGTGTATTTATATATTTTTTAAATATATATAATGTAAATGTTACTATTATACTCTTATATCATTGTTTGATTGATTGAATTCAAATTTCATTATTTTAAAACAATAAGAAAGATTTAACATATTGTGAATTGTGGTGGAGAATTTGTTTTTTTTCTTTCTTTTTGAGCTATATATAAAAAAATCTCATCCATTGTATTTTTATGTTGACTATTGTACATTTCATGGAAAAAAAAGCATTCGGTTTCTTTTTTAATAAAAATTCGAGATTCAATATAGGTCTTAAAATTACATTTTGGTTTACACGAACAAATAAACAGATTTAATTATGAGCACGTATAAATAATCATGAGAAGCATTCCCATTCAGCTTACCTCAACAAAAGAATCCATCTTAATTATACACTTCAACCGACGATATTAATGTGCATATAAAACGAAATATCTAAGATAATATACAACTTTTTCCAAGTATGCAAAACAAGATATGGTTTGACTGATAAACTGATTTTATTAATGGTATATAACTAAACAACACCAAAAAAATATAGATCCCAATTAATAACTATATCAAATGAAAATTTATTGGTTTATTTAAAAAACGGGAAGTATACATATAAATATTTTCTTGGGAAAATCTGTTGTTCTTTTCATTCTTTGCGAACCAAACCACCATAGAAAGGAACATCGGTTTGCGGGACCCATGTATCTCCCATGGTAAAGTTGTAAACCGTGAAGTTCATGGCTTGTGCCATGTCCAATAAATTGTACCCTAACCACTGCACTCTCCGGTCAGTCTTTGCCCCCGGCCCAAAGTTATCGTACTCACCGTAGTAAATCGTATCTAATCCAGTCGTACCGTTCCATTCGAGCCACCCGACTGGTTGGACAATGTCACTAATATATGATTGCATGAAAACAGTCCTTGAGTAAGGCTTCCACGGCCGCCCTAGAAACGTCATGGTCGAGGTAGGATCAGCTGCAAGATCTGGGGCGGCTTTGATCGTACAGTTTATGATAGAGATTCCTGTGTTTTGGTCTGGTTCGGTTCTTCCATGAGCTGTAATTGCATTCTTCTGCTTTGCCATTGGTTTTCGAGCATATATGTTGCAGTTTTGAAATATTGCTGCTGCGTTTCCGAATATAAAATCGATGGTACCTATGACAAAAAAAGGAAGAAAAAGAGGACACAGATTACAAATGTGTCAATGAAAAAAGGCAATAATGTAAAATCCTCAAGACTGAGCCTGGTTTTGCAAATCATATTCCAATAACAGTAATAATAAGTATAGGAAGTGGAAGCAAAACGTGTAATATACCATATATATCGCATTCACGGTAGAATTGTCTGAGAGAATGGACGTAAAGAGTATCTTGATAGCCTTCAAAACTACACCGATAAAAAGTCGATCCTTCAGCATTATTTCTCAAAGCCACTGCTTGATGTTTCTCAGGTCCGGCTGTGTTTCTGAATGTAACATCGACCGCCATGAACCGCTCTCCAATCACCGCTAGATATTACAAATAAAATATGATAAACTAAGTAATTTGCTAGGCACACAATGATTCCAAATGAAAAAAAAAAAAAAAAAAAAAGAAGACAGAAATACCAACCAAAGCTGGAGCAATTATACGTAGTCCAACCATCAACAACATTATGGTTCCCGGTAATGATCGTCTTATTGATTCCATCTCCCATAAGCATTAAGTTCTTTTTGTTGATGGGAACAACAATATATTCTTCGTAGACACCTTCTCTTGCGTATATGACAAAGTAACCATCCTCCGGTCTAGTGTTATTAGGTACCGCTGCAATTGCGTCACTGATGGTTGTGAAGTTATCGTTTTTGTACGAACCGACGATAACCACTTGCCTCACGAGGACGGAACCGCCGCTTGTCTGCCCAAGGTCACCCAACTTCCGGTCTTTCCGGCAATCTTTTTCCTTGTCGCATGTTTTACGTAAAACCTACATATAGCAAAATGAAAAAAACATCAAATTTTGTTATGTTACATGGTTAATTAGCTTATAATTAAATTACGGTACTGTTAAATCGATGCTTATAATTTTGTTGTTATGATGAGGAAATCCACGTGAATACAGTTGGACTCGAGTGAGACCCAATTGATATTTTTCTTCAAAAGCAAAGATGGGACCCATTTTATCATCGTTTACTTTCATAAAAATGTGGCCTTAAATGTGCATAGGCCATGTGACATTTACTCTCTTACGCGTCTGGCTCACTAACACACACACACACATCAACAAGAGCACGTCCATTTCATTCTGTCTCGATCTAGAAACTCTGGATTTTTTTCGAATATTAAATCCAACCGTATGTCCTAAAGAAGTAAATTTCACACCATATACTGTAAACTTAAATATCTGTCCTCCTAAACAACAGGCTTCATTAATATACATACATATCCAAATATTAAAATGACCCATGATTTCATAATTCGTTTTCGATTTTTTCACTAGAAGCAAATAACAATAATAACGAAAAATTAATTACCTTAATCAAAGTCTCGAGCGGCTCGCGATAGGTTGTGTTTTGACCACCGAGAATCTTCCCTTTAGAGGCTTTAAACCTCTTTATGTTACGGTTAAGCGCGTGGCTCACAAGCCCCAACGACACACTATAAAGGCGCGTGAGATTCCCCATCGGCGATCCAATGGCGGCGGCGAATCCACTCTTGGCCTCCACGAGTCCGTCAACGCAAGTCTGCTGATTCGTCACAACACCACTGAGAAGACTGTTCACATGCTCCACGAGCGCTGACGTCATCATATCCGCCATTTTGAGCTCTGCCGTGACCGTTTCGAGGTAGCTCACACTCAGCTCAGCTAACTCGCCGCAATCCGCCACCGCGCCGAATTCCTCGGCCGTCGCGGAGCCGGGTTTGTTTCTCAAGCGCCGTACGTAACTGTTGATGACTTTGGAGAGACGGCTTGCTTGTTTGAGACATTGCTTGATCGTGAATTTGCCGTAACGGTAGGGATCGGACGGCGAGGATTTGACAGCGGAGAGGATCGTACGGCAGAGCTTAGGGTATGGAGTTGACTTACAAGCGACAGAAGTTGACTGTGACGGAGGCAAAGAAGGTGGTGGTGAAGGTGGCTGCGACGGAGGCAAAGAAGGTGACTGTGACGGAGGCAGAGAAGGTGGCGGTGAGGGAAGCACAGAAGGTGACGAAGGCTCAGAAGGTGGCTGTGACGGAGGGTGTTGTGGTGAGATTAGGAAAGCACATGAGAGGAAAACAAGAGACAGGAACAAGAGAGAAGAAGAGAAGTGGAGTGTTTGCATTTTCATCTGTTTATTTTTTACATTTATGGTATTTGTTTGAGTGGATGATCAACTATATATATAGAGGATACGAGGAGCTTGAGCTATTTAATGAATGCATAGATTCGAGGGAAACTAAATTATGTAATGCATGTTGGTCTAATAATTAATATACACGCGTATAGTTTCATTTTGGTCAAACAAATAGTTCCATGTGTAAGAAGTAAGATCCAATTGTTTTTGCAGCTGGTGGTACACCGTCACGATGACCGGAATTGGGTTGACTTGGTTACAAGAGTTTTTTTTTTTCCAAATAATAAAACCGTAAAATTGGGTACATATAGTGTTATACGTTTTGTTTAGTCCAATTTGTTATGCCAAGCGATAGTGTAATTAAATAAAAACAATCAGAGACTTGTACATACATCTCGAGGTTAATTTGCATTTAATACTATTTAGAAATTAACAAGCTGGGTTGACTTCGTTACAAGAGTTTCATTTCATATGATTTTGACCTGTGAAATTGCATGTGATGTGTCGGGGAGCCTTTTATAGACAAGGCAAGACGGTGAAGACAAGGCAAGACGGTGAGCCTAATAAAAGTCGTCGTGAGTTCGTCACTGTCTGTTCCACATTTCACACTTGCAAGTTATGGTCCAATTACTTGCTACACTCTTCCAACTCATGGCATGTCGTAATAACACCAATGTATAATCCAAAATCAAATCTTTGTTTCAACTATTTTGCATGTTTCCTGAACTGTTGTAAATTATCAAGAACAGTATATTCTGAATTATAATTATGTGAACACTAAAAGAGAAACTGTGTTACAAAATCAAAACCGAATACAAGCTAATATCAGTATTTGTGAGTACATTCCCTAGCCAAATAAACCGAACCAAAACAGAGTTAAAACTAAGATCATGTTTTTCACTATTTCATATTCCACAAAAGTAAATAAAAATCTAAAAGTGGTAAAAGAAAAAAAGAAAAAAAAACAGCTAAGAATACGAATACTGCATACATCACAGTCTCAAAGCTTTCCCATTCCATAAACCAAAAAAAGAAAAGAAAAGAGAGTGATATCTATGACTACGAGGGAATATTACAAAGAGAAGAGGAGTTTTCACGTGGACTTGAGGATCAAGCATGATCAACAGAGACCGAGTCTAGTTCACGGCCATGAACCCTGAACCGGTAGATGCAAGTGTGTGAAGAGCTTCCATGGTTGGATGTGAAGTCTAGCCTTACAGTGTTGACAAATCCCGAGTGAGCTGAATCTGCAATCTCAAATGTCTGTGCGTTGGACCTGTCTAAGTCGTAACTGAACTCTGTAAGAAGGAGCATCGTCTCACTCTCCATATCTCTGTCTTCTAGCCATCCTGATACACGGCAATCCTTTGGGGCGCTCGATCTGTCATACGCTACAGCCTGTTCGATTTCATGGTTCAAAACTTTAAGATCAGTATCGCTCCAAAGAAGAACACGATGGAAAGCATTATGTGACCAGTGACCATCACAACAAAATCTGTAACATAAAGGACTATCCGATGATCGAATGTTTGGTTTTCCCATTTACTATTGTCTCTAGGATATCCCAAATCAAAATACAAGAAAGCATAGGTTCAAAGAAACTCCTAAAGCTGGAAGTTTGCAGAGAAGAGTATATGATACAAACCTACTCCTTGGTGATGGAAAGTGGAAACAGATACTGGTTAATCAAAATCTAAAGCCTCATCAATGCATTCTTTCACAGCTAGTGACCCAAATTAAACATCAAAACCTACAAAACTAGATTCTTGTCCTCTATTCAATAGCACAACATCACCAGCAATTCAACCATCCAAACATTTCAAGGGACGAACCCTTTTCAACAAAATTAGATATAAATCGATGATTATGTGAAAGTCTAGTATGAGATGTTAGTATTATTACCTTAGAGACATGTTCCAAGGTAACAGCCTCTGGTATGATTGGTGTTCTTAGCCTGACTTGAACATAGCCACTGCTTCCTTTCAGAGGGAAACACTGTCCAGGCTCCCCGAAACTCGGAGTTAACATCTTAGCCGCTTTGCTATGAACCCGTCGCCTGCTAGTCCCAAACCAATTACCACCATTTCCAACAAGATAAGGATCCGAATGATCCATCACAAAAGCACCACCTGACGCTAATGCATAGTCTACTCGGCCAAGGCCATCAGCAGCATGCTTCCCAATCTCTTTCTCCACTATGTCACGAGCATATGCTCTCAGTTCATCAATGTCGACATCGCCAACAGAAGAATCATGGACCTTACCCTTCTTCAATTCCTCGTAAACCCTCTCTAATTCCTCTCTAGACACCAAAGGTTTAGCATTGACTTCGTCTACGGAAGCCTGTAGCGTCTCTGTTCTAGACTCTATCTTCTTCAATTCAGTCTGCAACGCAGAAGACGTGGAATCGATTTTCTGCCTAATTGCTCTTGTTTCGCTTTCCATCTTCTTATCAAGAAACTCGACTTGGACCTGCATCATCTTCGTCGTGGTCTTCACTAGACCATCGACTGCCGAAATCCGGCTCTCCAATTCCGAAAGCACCATCTCCGTCTCAATCGGAAACGTCGAGGAAGATAGAGGCGTGTCCTTCAGAGCCACTTTCCTAATCAATTGAATTAGCCCAACGAGTAACAAAAGAGCCCCAAACTGCTTCGCGAATACCCTAACCACTCTCTTCCACTGCGTCCTCTGCGTCTTGGTCACCGGGACCTTCCGCGTTCGACGCTGCGTGGTGGTCGTATTAGTCCCCGTCGCGGCGGATCCAGATTTCCTCGTCACCGGACCCACGTTGTAGCCGTTGGATCTCTCAGCGGCAGCCTCGGAGCGAATCAGATCCCGGCTCGTACCAGCGGCGGACTCTGCGATGGCGGCCGCATTCGCATGTGATTCGCTCGGCGGGAAATCAAAATTGGATTTCTTCTCAGTGGAGAGAACCGGCGTCCGCCTAATCGCCGCCGTCGGGCTAGCGGTGACACACACGGTTGATGCCGACATGATCTGGAAGATTGAATAACAGAATTCGAAATCCTTTCACGAAATGCTCTTCCTTTGGAAATAAACCCTAATTTTGACTGACGAGAGAGAGAGAATGATAAAGTTGGGAGATTTGAAATTGAAGAAGAGCGACAACGTTATATATACATAAGAGCGTTCTCTCTTTTCCCCTTTTCTCTGGGACGTGTTTCTGCAATTTATTTACTTTAATTCAAAAATTTGCCTTTTGCTCACTTTTATAAATTATGAACCATGATAGTACTATTGACCAACATCAAACTGAAATGATTTCTGAATATATTTACCTTTTTTTTCCTTAAACCACAAATTCATTTGATCTTTGCATATCCAGTTATCCAAAGGCAAGATATGGTCATAATTAAATAGGGGACTTTATTCACCAAACTATGATTATTCATTTATTTATTCACAAGGGTACGCAAATTCAACCGTAGGAGAGACATTTGACATCAAGTCATACTCTTTTGTCAGTGGAAGAAGAATCAGAAATTGGCAGTCTTATCTTTGCAGATTCTTTCAACAAATCGAATGAAGAGAAAGAATGTGGCGGGAGAACAACGGTCAGATCCTCTTCAGCCATCTCTAGCAAGGTTTCATGTGGCACAATCTGCAAAAAAAAAAAAAAGATTATAAGCAGCAAATTTGTGAAGATGATGATGATGATTCGTCCATTTGCTTTTGATTTATATATACCTTCTCAGGCTGTGTGAAGGAATTTTCATCCATCACATTGGTAGATGTAAGTATCGTCTTCTTTGATCCAGAAACTTTCATCACGTTCGGGTCTAATCCAGTAACCAACACCTTCAGATTCACTGAGTCAGCTCCGAAGTTTACAGCCTGCAGATCAATTGGATGTTACACACAATTCTAAAGAGAAAAAAAAAGAATTAAAGAAGTTTGTGTAAGATATCTCTCTCTCGGTGTACCTTTATGCGTATGTAATCTTGGCCATTGTTTTTCCAGGAGATTGCGGATGCGACAAGAGAGGAAGAGTTTCCGTTGATTGTTGAAGCGAGAAGAGTTGATCCGCTTGACTCCGCAAAGAACCGTTGGACCCAGTAGCTAGGAGTTCCATATAGATGAGAGGAGTTGAATACTATTGCATCAGGGTTCCACCTTCAAAATTTTAAGGATTCAAGAATCTGAGATTGTTGCCTTTAGTTTCCTGAGTGATTCATAAGTGAATGAGAGATGATACCGTCTATCGTTTGTGTTCACAAAGAGTGGCGCATAGCTTGCCATTTCCACAATGTCACTACAACAAAAGAAAGCAGCAGAGATGTTTTTACTCATTTGGTGTTGTTAGACTAGCGATCAAGAAAGAGGAAAGCTGAAGAAAAAACCTGTTCTTTTCAAGACCAATGAGGAATGCAGCTTCTGCAAGAGCGGCGAGGAGGCTTCCTGTACCAGCATCTTTTCCAGTCACAGCGTATTCACTGACAAAAGCCTGCAAAAACAAAAGCTCCACGAGTGAGCTGTTTTCATCTTGTCTTTGTGTCAGAATTACGTTTTGTATATACTCTTATCACCGCACCTTTGGACCTTTGCGTGAAGTTCGGTCGAACTGATGATACATGGAGAACAAACTGCTAGCAGAAGTGTATATCTACGACAAAAGGAAACACTTTGTTTCAGACAGAAACACACACAAAAGAACATTTCAAGAACGGATTCTTACGTGAAAGTCATAGAAATCAGCAGGGTGGTCGAGAGGACGAGATGATCCATCACAGTTGGAAATGATTTTGATATCTGGATAGGCCTTTTTAATAGCATCGTAGAACACAATATAGTTTCCTGTAAAAAAATTGTAATCTCATATAGTGTCAACGACGTTTAACAAAACCATAAGTCAAAATGTGATCATAGAGAGAAATGTAAAACCTCTGTAGTAAGTCTTTCCACAATCCTCATTCCCAACAGCAACATATTTCAGCTCAAAAGGCTCTTCGCGTCCCATTGCAGCTCGAACCTTTCCCCATGTAGAATTAGCATCTCCTCGAGCAAACTCGATACCATCGAGTGCTTCCTGAACAGACAAAAGAGAAAGAAAAAAAGTTTTGGTTTTTCGGCTTCTTCGGTAGTGAAACAGAGGAGGGTTTCGCAGTCATACTTGAACAAAGGGCATGATACTGGCAGTCTCAACTTCATCATTGTGACTAATCCCTGCGTAAGGATGAAGACTTGTAAAGAACAATGTGGATGGATTTGGATTAACAAAAGAGGTATAACTCGGTTACAGTCGGGTAATGAAAGAATACCGTTGTTAAACACCCATATGGGGGCTGCGCCAATGTCTTCTGCCAACTACAAGTGTGTTCATTTAACATTTGATTAGAGATTACGGAACCATTACAGATCCAAGAACTGTAGAGTTTCATAGACTCAATAGAAGAAAGTTCTCACTTGAAAGAACTCGAAGTGGCCAAGGCCATCATCGGTCCAATACTTCCAAACATCACCAAAGTGTCCCGGTCTCTCTTCCCAAGGTCCTACGGTTTCTTTCCAGCGGAATGCATTACTCAACCATTCACCCTCGACAAAACAGCCACCTAAGTCCACAACCATCCAAGAGTGAAGATTACTCTTTAGGTGCATCTATGGACATTATATGCAACAAAATGCTACTAGTCTTAGATATTACCAGGGAAACGGATGAAACGGGGTTTTATGTCAACCATCATCTGCAAAAGATCGTTTCTAAAGCCATGTCCCTGTAAACAACCAAAAGAGATTGTATATTATTTGTTTTTTTCTCTATCAACAATCTGCAATATTTCATTTAAAGGCTCTATAAAGAATCGGAAAGAACCTTGTAAGTATCCACAGGCAAGGCCGAGACTTGGTCAATCCATATTGACCCTTTCTTGGTTGTTGTTAGCTGAAGTCTTGCACCATGATCTGTCCCTTTTGCCTCCAGAAGAACCTCCTTTTTAGTCCATTTCGAAACATCGGAAGCAGAAGCTCTACATTGAAACAAATGAAAGCACAAAATTGAAACTTCCTCACATTAAAAACGGCAACAGAAACGTATGCAGGCTTAACTGAAGAATCTGGAAGTGTTTCTTACATGATCTGTTCAGAAGCAAGTGTCACCGATCCATTCGAGCTTGTCAACGACACAGACAGATCGATATCACCAGTCGAACGCACATAGAAAGCCACCTTATACTTCTTTCCTTCTTCAATATTCTAAGAGAAAATGAAAAAGATAAACACCTTAACTCATAATACTCTTGACATCGAGCTTCAACATCAAAGCGATCTGTAAAAAGTTTTGACAATGGACACTCACCATGCCCCAGTAACCGGGATTATAAACTCCGACACCTCCTGAGGGACAACCATTGCTATCACAGAGCACATCCATTCTCAATGCGATTTTGTTCCGTTCAAAGCACGATGAACGGTCTGTAGCTACATATACCGATGACTGATCACCAACAATGGACCAAGGCCAAATATTAGACGGCGTGTTTTGCCCACCAGCTTCAAACCCTGGAAACCAAAGTTTTCACTTCATGTAAAGAAAGAAAAAAGAAGCCTAACGATGGATCTTGCACGAGAAACAAGAGAAAAAAAACTAACCTCTGTTGCTAACAAGTTCGGCCCATAATCCACCAGCACCAGCATGGTTAATCTCCTGCAAATGATTTGACCATACTGCATATAAAACTCATGTCTAAACCATAATTTTGACCATACCAGAGATCTATTTGGAGGCTGTAACATTAACAAACCTCGAAGAATATCCCGAAAAGCGTCTCAGGAATGAGTCGTCCTGCTCCCGTAGAAGCATTGACTTGCAAAGTCACGGCTGGTTTTGTATCTTCTTGAGCAACAACCACACGAAGGCTTTGATACACAAAGCAAGAGCCAAGTAGAAAAGAAAGTATGCAAACACTTCTCAGGAACTTCCAAGACTCCATATCCATAATCACCACATGCAGATAAAGCAAGGCCCTATAAGAGACATTTATAGAAAGATTGAATCTTATTCAGCTCAAGACGTTAAAGGGAAAAAAAGCCTCAAAAGAAGGTAACAGCTGCGAAAAGAAAACTACAGTGGTGGTGATGATAACATAAGACAAAGTAACAAAAATGAAAAGAGAGGATCTTTAGCTCATACTTATCAGTTTATCTTCAGCAAAAGGAAGGTAAACATTAAACACATGGGAATATTATATACAGGAATTTGTCCTCAATGGAACTGCAAGAATCTGGGATCAAACATAAGATATATCAAAGTCATGAGTGGACGCCACATTGAGAAATCACAAAAAGAGTGAAAATCTGAGAGATAATCAGTTTTTAATTTTAAATGATCTGATTAGAGCTTGCTGCAAATCAAGAAGAGTGGCTTCGATCTGTCAGCTCATAGACTCAAAGCCTTCGGGAATTGAATCAAGTTGATTTCAGAAACCGAAACAGAGAGAAGCTAAAAAAACTCAATTTCGGAGGGAAAAGGTTTGTTCTTTTTCGGGATTTCTTTAGAGAATCTCAAATCTTATGAGTCTTAAAGTTAGAGCATTTGCATGGTTGATAAGTAACTAAATTTGAACCATGAAACAAAACAGTGAATAACCTGGAACTGGAATCAACAAGAAATAGAAACAAAACCTGGAAACTCAACAATGACAACGGGATTGATCCGAGACGAGACGAGACAAGAAATGGGTGAAGAAGGATCAGACAGGAGAAGGATTGAAGTAGTAAAAAATGTTTGTTGTGGTTAGGTCGATTTTGCTTAAAGAAAGAAGCAAAAATCGCGGAAATCTTGCTTCCACGTTTGATCGAATTGTTTGTTTTCGTGGAAGAAGTGGATGAAGATTAGAAGCGACGACTACTGAACCATCCACATATCTTCTGTTCATTGCTTTTTATTAATTTTCTTCTTCTTTTTGGATAAATACTATTGTTTTTGAGTTTTTTCTATTTTGGATAATGGATAATTGTTAATCCATATGAAAACGACT